AACTCTCCAGTGTCATGTTGGTGATTTCTCCACAAACAAGCTCCACTGACTCACAAAATGTAAAAATCGAGTTGGCAAACGCTGTAAAAATCAGAGCCAGTTTCACTGCCAGTGGAATTACTTGTTTTGCTCAAGCTGAAAAGTTTTAGCTTAAGGATCTTAAAGCCCGCTAAAGTCTCGATTATCAATACCGATTCCAAAAATATTCCCATTTAAATCCCCTGTCTGAGAGCCCAGTTGAAAACCGTGAAATTCAGCCCACAGATCCTGAAACGAGTGCAACGCTTCCATCAACAGATGGTGACACGGAAAAACACGGGGGGGCTGAAAGAATAATAAAAAATTAACAAATAAAGAGGGAAATGCGTTTTCTCTGGTGTAATGCCTTTTAACCCAGCAGGATAAATAGTCGGAAAAGCTCTCTGCAAACCGTAACCATAACAACAGCCACATTAAGGCCTGAGTGGAAAAAACTTTAATTCACTTTCACTGCATTTGAATTAGTCAGATGAGATTTGTGTGTGTGTGTGTGTGTGTGTGTGTGGCACTTCATCATTTTAATGCATCAGCAAAGAGAAAGTGAATAATGGCAAATGTGTGCATTACTCTGTGCTACTGCGTGCTTGTGTGTGTGTGTGTGTTTGATTTTCATATTATTCTAGTTATGTAATGTAAATTCTCATTATGATCATCAAGCCTAGGATTAATACATCATTAGTATCACACAGTTTGGAGACCTGAGAAGAAACTAATTCATAGTGCATTAATAAAAACACACACACACGGATACATATACACACAGCAAATTTACTAAAACAAACTAAAATTAAACTGAAAAATAAAAAAATGTATAAATATAACATCTAAATATTAATAATAATCTAACAGTAGAACTAATACTAACATGCACATGGAAAAATGAAATAAATAAAGTATACACACAGGAGATTCAGCAGCTTAGAGGTTCATCGCTCTTATCTCAGTTCACAAAGAAGAAAGTAAAGTTCACACAAAAGTATAAATGGAGATCGTTATATCTTATATTATAAAGTGAAATATAATGTCAGAAATTGAGATAAAGTTCTGAGTCAGAGGAGAGATGAGTTTATGAAGCGCTTTCATTAACGCGTGCTGATTCTGTGTGTGTGTGTGTGTGTGTGTGCAGGATCACTGGTCTGGGATCAGATCCTCTCTGTGTTGTAAAACTGTTGATTTAAAGATCTCTTTTGAGTTTCTGGGAAATTCACACACACTTTCTTTCTTTTTAACGATTCAATAATTTCTGTCTGTCGGGTTTGCGAGCGGAATAATTTGAGCTAACTGCTCTCATATTATTATTCATGAATCTAATTTCACCTCAAGAGGAAATTAAATGTGTCGAATGCGGATCCACATTTGAGTGTGTGTGTGTGTGTTTGTTTGTGTCTTTGAGTGTGTGTGTGTGTGTGTTTTCCATTCCAAGGCCTGCCTGCCTGCCTATCTATCTATCTATCTATCTATCTATCTATCTATCTATCTATCTATCTATCTATCTATCTATCTATCTATCTATCCATCCATCTGCATATCATCCATCCATCCATCCATCCATCATCCATCCATTCATCCCTCCATCCATCTGTCTATTCATCCATCCCTCTATTCATCCATCTGTTTATCCATCCATCCATCTGTATATCATCTATCTATCTATCTATCTATCTATCTATCTATCTATCTATCCATCCATCTGCATATCATCCATCCATCCATCCATCCATCATCCATCCATTCATCCCTCCATCCATCTGTCTATTCATCCATCCCTCTATTCATCCATCTGTTTATCCATCCATCCATCTGTATATCATCTATCTATCTATCTATCCGTCTATCTATCTATCTATCTATCTATCTATCTATCTATCTATCTATCTATCTATCCATCCATCTGCATATCATCCATCCATCCATCCATCCATCATCCATCCATTCATCCCTCCATCCATCTGTCTATTCATCCATCTGTTTATCCATCCATCCATCTGTATATCATCTATCTATCTATCTATCTATCTATCCGTCTATCTATCTATCTATCTATCTATCTATCTATCTATCTATCTATCCATCCATCTATCCATCCATCCATCCATCCATCCATCCATCCGTCCGTCTATCCATCCATCCATCCATCCATCTATCCATCCATCCATCCATCTGTATATCATCTATCTATCTATCTATCTATCTATCTATCTATCTATCTATCTATCTATCTATCTATCTATCTATCTATCTATCTATCTATCTATCTATCCGTCTATCTATCTATTCATCTATCTATCTATTCATCTATCTATCTATCTATCTTTTCATCTATCTATCTATCCATCCATCTATCCATCCATCTGTCTATCCATCCATTCATCCATCTGTATATCATCTATCTATCTATCTATCTATCTATCTATCTATCTATCTATCTATCTATCTATCTGTATATCATCTATCTATCTATCTATCCATTCATACATCTATCCATCCATCCCTCTATTAATCTGTCTATCCATCCATCCATCCGTCTATCCATCCATCCATCCATTCATCCATCTGTATATCATCTATCTATCTATCTGTATATCATCTATCTATCTATCTGTATATCATCTATCTATCCATTCATCCATCTATCCATCCATCCCTCTATTAATCTGTCTATCCATCCATCCATCCCTCTATCTATCTATCCGTTTGTCTATCTATCCATCCGTCCATCCATCCATCTATCAGTATATCTATCTATCCATCCATCTATCCTTTTATTTGAATTGTTTTCAATTTATTTGATTTATTTAAAGTGTCCTTTTTATCCCTTTTTATCCATGTTTAATTGTTTGTTTGTATTTTATTTTTGTTAGTTGTATTTTATTATACCAGTTTTTAATTTTTTAATGCTCACTGCCACCGGTCACAGTTCCCATCATGCCTTGTTTCTCCACCAGGTGAGGGCGGTCACATAGACGAGGCTAATACGGTACAGGTAAATGAACAGCTTATAAATGTGTCATTCCTCTCGCGCTCATTTCGGAGTGACATCCCACAAAACGGGGCCTCATTTTCCAGCGGCCGGCCGAATAAATTTCAATTAAAATGCCTGTCAGGGCAGCTTACGGGGAACACGGTGATTCAACAATAAATAAAATGACATGAATATATGAATAAGTAAACAGCTCGCCACATCATGCAGGCCAAAACAGGAATCCTTGCACTGTGACATCAAGTAGCTCTGGACCAATCAGAGGAGGCGAAGGAGCCACACTCATGAATATTTATGAGTGAACGCACCGGACACTAATGGAACAGCCAGCTTGCGATTGTGCTCATAAAATGCATGAATTTCCTACTGAAACCCGAGGTCTCATGCAAACTAAGAGGATGTCGAATCCAGAGATGGTCATTTGCCTACAAATCGGATTTTATTACACAGCAAACTCTTTTAGCCGATCAGAAAACAGATCAATACCATGCAGTTCTGGTATCTAAAATATCACAGGCAAACATGTCTGTCAGAATATCGACTACGATTAATAATTTAAAAAAAATGCACATGAAATGCAAGAACTCATCAAATCAGATAAAACACTTAATGTGAGTGTGTGTCTATCATTAGTGGTGGACAATCCATCATTACTCTCATGAGCAAAATCATCAGCCTTTAGTAAAACACACACACACACAAACATATTCATCATCCGTCTGCAACTCATTGAAGTTAAAGAGCGCCCGCACACACACACACACACACACCATTCATCACTTCATAGCATCTAGTTAACAGGCCGTTTGGCAGGAGCAGGCCAGAGGCTATCATATAAACATAGAGAAAAAAGAACGGAGGAAAATAACAAATGAAACGAGCTGTGTGAAGGGAAGAGCGCATCTGATCATCTGTGCAAAAGAGACATTTACATTTAGGACCGGAAAAATAGTGCAGAATATAAATATCGCTTTTTATCTCACAAAATGCTAAGACATTTAAAGTGAATTTGAACGTTTACTAAACGCAAAATGACGCATAAAGCCAATAAATTCAGCAAAGTTTCAATATAGTGACAATAAATGTATTATTTTGGTAACAATCAACAAATGTAAGAAGATAAGCACTTAAAGGAGTAGTTCATTTAAAAAAAAACTTTTGCTGATAATTTACTCACCCCCATGTCATCCAAGATGTCCACGTCTTTCTTTCTTCAGTCGAAAAGAAATGAAGGTTTTTGATGAAAACATTCCAGGATTTTCTCCATATAATGGACTTCAATGGGGTCCAAACAGTTCAAGGTCCAAATGAGAGTTTCAGTACAAACTGCAAACTGTTCAAAGGGCTTTAAACGATTCCAGATGAATCTAAATCTTTTTCCGAGTCAATTCGTTCGTTTTGTTCAATGAATCAACCAAATGACTCGGAAAAAGATTCGTTCATTTTCGTTCAAGATTCGGTCACGAACGTGCGTCACAGAGCATTCGAGCATTTGAGCTTATAAAACTTAAGCTTTGTTATTTATTCATTAAATGAGCGATCGTTTCGCTTGATAAGACCCTTATTTATCGTCTGGAATCGTTTAAAGCCCTTCAACAGTTTGCAGTTTGTACTGAAACTGTCTTTTGGACCTTGAACCGTTTGGACCCCATTGAAGTCCATTATATGGAGAAAAATTTTGTAATGTTTTCATCAAAAACCTTCATTTCTTTTCGACTGAAGAAAGAAAGACATGGACATCTCGGATGACGTGGGGGAGAGTAAATTATCAGCAAGTTTTTTCAAAAGTGAACTACACCTTTAATATCACAACACAACAAATACCTAACAATAACTACAAAGCATCATCAAACACTAAAAACTCAGCGAATAGTAATACAATAATCCTATAAAAATGTATTCATGCTGGGAATTCAAAAACCTTTAGATTTTCAATGGGTTCTCAAACTTTTATGTGTGTGTGTGTGTGTGTGTGTGTCACCTTGTCTGTGGAAGAGTTTGCTGCTCACTATCTCAGTCATGGACGTCACTTTGGGTTTCTGTAGTTTATCCGGGGGAATGCAGGAGTAGAAGTCATACAACAGCTTACTACACACACACACACAGAGAGAGAGAGAGAGAGAGAGAAAAATGCATCAATAAAAGTAGAAAAAACAAGTTTAAAGGGGCTTTAATGCAAAGGAATCCATGCATTGAATGCCTCATTGCATTGGCAATGAGTTTTGTGATGTTTTCCTCAAGTTTAATCAGCACAACAGTTTGTATTTTTAGTAAAAGATAAAAATAGACTAAATTAATCCATCAATTAATGCGAAAGCTGCTGCGGGCAAGAGAAAGCGACCTGCGTTTTATTGATCGAGTCTGCATGCCGCAGAAACTACTGTATCATATCGACCCTCCTGTGCGGAGTGTACAGTGATGAATCGGACGCCACTCGAAGCTAAACACACACTAGATAAAAACAGCTTCTGCAACCTGTAACTCACTCCTCAAACTCATTCAAAACTGGAGCCTCAGTTCCTCGCATGATCAGCTAAACTGGTTAAAGTCACATTACGGTTATAATAGCGTTAGTGCTTGAGAGAAGCTCTGGTAAATGTAGGAGGACGGGACATTAAAGACCATCAGAGTGAAGGATTGATTTCTGCAGTTACTGATGTCACAAACTTGATGTGGGTCATCAAAGTGTCATCAAGCACGATATATCGAGAAGAGTCGGGACTGATCAGGGCTTGTTATGAGACTCACCTGAGGAGTTTAGCATCGAAAACCGTCTCCACATCTTGCAGGACTGTGGGCAAGTACTTCAGAGCAGCCACCTATACACACACACACACACACACACAATATATAATGTTATAAAACTATTTTAAATTCTATAACATTATGCAAAATTATGTGAATTACTGTAAATTGTGTTGAGCAATTATGTGTTACATTTCTACTGTATTTATTAAATTTAGTGTATTTTTATTGACTTTTGTATTTTAGGGTGCTTGTTAAGATCTGGCTAGGGACAATAGATGGAAACTAGCACTTGTAGCTAACTCTGGCTTGTTTACAGCAAGTAACTTGTTTTTTGATCAATGAGCATTGTCCCCATCAAATAAAATAAATTAAATGAACAAAGTATTATTTTATACAATTTTTAAAATAAAACATTTCATAATTAGGGCCGTCAAACGATTAATCACGATTAATGGGATCCAAAATAAAAGTTATATATATATATATATATATATATGCACACACATGCATGTATATTTAAGAAAAAAAAAATATTTATATATAGAAATATTTATATTTATACATAATATAAATTAAATATAAATCTATATACAGTATATATATATATATATATATATAAAAATGCACGTACATGCATGTATATTTAAGAAAAAATATTTATATATAGAAATATTTATATTTATATATAATATAAATTAAATATAAATCTATATACAGTATATACATGAAAATATTTCTTAAATATATACAAGCATGTGTGTGTCTTATATAAAAAATAATTATACACAGTGCACCCACATATATTATGTAAACACAAACTTTTATTTTGGATGCGATTAATCGTTTGACAGCCCTATTCATAATATAAAATGATTTTGTTACAATAAAAATATGTATTATAACATTTTATATAATATTAAATTGGTAACACTATATTTAAAATAAGGTCTAATTTGTGAACATTAGCTGACGAACTAAAAATAAGCAATATGTTTTTATATTTATGAACCTTTGTTATTGTTTTGTACTATCGCTCATTGTTCTTGTTAGCTCACAGATACAAATTATGATTTAAATAATGTATTCGTAAATGCAGAAATTAACATTAACTAAGATTAATAAATGCTTTCAAAATATTGTTCATTGCTTGGTCACGTTAATTAATGTTAACAAATGAAATTATTGTAACTCACTCACTCACTCACTCACTCACACATTCTCTCTCTATCTCTCTCTCACACACACACACTAATTTGTTACAATAACAAGAGGATCTCATTGTAATGTTATATATACCCATTTCATATCCATTTTATGTTGTGTATACATATTTAATGATATGTGCAATGCATGCAGATCATATTTTTTATATACTGTATTTCAAAAAACGCAAAAAAACATCAAAAAATATTTAAAGCTAAATTGTGATGCTCATCATATGACACCTTTGTACTGAATTAATGACCTGGCTTGATTACACATTTTCACAAACCCGAGTGAACAGAATCAATCCCAGACTTCTGTGCCTGACTGCGCCATCAATCATGTAATGTGTGAATTATGCATAACTGAAGTGAATTCAGTAATTAATATATTAGCACAGCACTAATAACACACACACATTCATACCTGCTGCAGTAGTGTAGTGGTGTAGTCACTTTTCATCAGGTTATTGATCGACTCAAATAAACTTTTGAGAGATTCTTCAAACTCGGCCTGTTCCTTGCCTTCATAGAGTCTGAAGAGAGATAGATAGAGATATTGTAAATATCTCTTCAATGTTGTAAATATACGAATAAATCTGCTAGACAAACACAACACAACCACAGTATCAAACTGATATTGGTTAAGATCCATCCCCATACGGCACACAATAAACATATCCCTAACCCTAACATTTATTATTGGTTTTTTTTCTATTATTGTTTTTTTTTTCTATTATTGGTTCATTCATATTTATATATATGTGATGTCAAACAATAAAAATATTTAATCGCACCATAAAAAAAAAGTACGCCATTAAAATGGGTTTGCGTGAACACTGTTAATAACACGTTTAACTGACAGCCCTAATATTGAGCTTTTTTTTAATCGAGCATTTGTGCTTATAAAACTTAAACTTTGTTATTTATTTTTTAAATGAGCGATCGTTTCGCTAGATAAGACCCTTATTCATCGTCTGGAGTCGTTTAAAGCCCTTCGAAGCTGCACTGAAACTCTCATTTGGACCTTGAACCGTTTGGACCCCATTGAAGTCCATTATATGGAGAAAATCCTGGAATGTTTCATTTCTTTTCGACTGAAGAAAGAAAGACATGGACATCTTGGATGACATGGGGGAGAGTAAATTATCAGCTAAAGTATTTTTAAAAGTGAACTAATCCTTTAATAAGACACAGCCCAGAGATTCATCTCTCTCTCCTGTCTCTGTCCATCAGGTCAGATAGGTGGAGATCAGTGCCGTCTCTCTCTCTCTGGTTTATCTGTCTGTCAGGAGTAACTCGGCACAGATGTTATAGTCGGTGGGCTTTCTGAGGGTGGAGATTATGCTGTGACACATGACAGTATTTACCGTGGTACCGCTGAAGAACAGACGTGATTACTGAAGCATTGTTCCTATAATCCACATGAGAGCCACAGTTAATACGCCACCTCCAACCCCACACACACACACACGAGCTCACAAAACAATGATGCATAGACAATATATTCTTACATCAAGACAAGTAGATGTGCATTTCCTAGAATTTGTAAATTCACAGAAAAACATACACACATGCAAAATCTCTTAAAATGAGTTCTAAGCACAAATGACGCAAAAAATGCACTCGTGCAAAGATGTTATATTCATTAAATAATAAATACACCCGCCAGCAAACCACTGTAAGGATTCTGACAAGTCGCTCATTCTGCATATGGCGAAAAACACACACTGTTAATCCTGATAGTGGGTATGAATGAGAGTCATTAGAGCATAAAAACAACCACTCAAAGAGATAAAACTCACAAAGAGCATGGAGAATGTGTGAGAGGATGACAAAACTTGAAGAAACCAGCAAACACACACACACACACACAGAAAAATTCTGTTTAGAATACAGACCGTTCTGGTTCTGGATGCTGATTGGTCAACACAACATTCCAGCAGGGTTAAACACACACTAACTATCAACCACTGGATCTACTAGTGCAAAGATTCACAAACTGTCCGTCACACTTAAAATATTTACTTAATAGTTAATATTTCACACATTTGCATGTTCTTGGTCCTCTGATAACTAAATAAATAACTAAATAAAAATATAAATAACTAAATAAATAGTAATGAAAATTTGAAATTTTGTAAGTTTGTAAGTTTAAGTTCAAGCAATAAAATTACTAAATAGAAATAGACACTGAAAATGAAAAAAAAATTGAATGATATATAAAATAAAAATCCTGAAAATGTATCAATATTAAAACTATAAAATTAAGTATTCATAAAAATATTAATAAATAATTTATATTAATATTTAAAATGTAACTATACTCTGATGTTGGTAATGGTCACAATGACATGCTGGTAAACAAATAAAATATTTCATAATTTTTAGCGTATTATTTTTTATTTAATTTATTTAAATTTACTTTTATTTAAATGTCATTTTTTATTATTTAATTGTTAGCTTTTTAAAACAAACATAATATCTGGTTGGGAAACCCCACGCTAGCGGAAGGATGACAAATCAGAAAATGTTTCAATGAATCGTTCTTGTTTAATAAATCTGGCTGATTATCTTTTCAACACAAAAACAGTTATTTTAAAGAAGTCATTAAAACAAAAAAGCAAAAAATTATGCTTTATAAGTTTATAAACCAACTTTACTTTATAAACATTTCATGCTCGAGGACAAAAAACTTCCCCAAATTGAAGAATCACCCAAAATATCTAAATAATAAATAATTCAAAAATAATTTCGGGTAATTTTCCCCTCCATTTCCTCTTTTCAGCTATTTAATATAAAGGCTTTATTAAATTTCCAGAGCTTGCACCCAACCCAGGCGTTCTCACACCCACGTGGTGAAAAGACTCTTCGCTCTGGGAATATAATGTGTGCGGTTTAATCTGGACGTATCAGAGAGTTATTTTAAAAGCTCAGAGCAGTAACCCCTTCCATCAAACTCCATTATCAGAGCGAAGCGCCTCCTGCCGAGACTAAATCCAGAGTGAAAACACTCGTGCTGAGAGACTTCAGACTAATAAACACTGAAAAATCATCCGGCCGTGATGGGGCCGCATTTCTGGAGCTGTTAGGATGCATCAGCGTACTGTGATAAACAGACTAGTTAATATGAGATAGATGGATGGAATGACAGACAGAAACAGAGATAGATAGATAGATAGATAGATAGATAGATAGATAGATAGATAGATAGATAGATAGATAGATAGATAGATAGATAGATAGATAGATAGATAGATAGATAGATAGATAGATAGATAGATAGATAGACAGAAACAGAGATAGAGAGATAGAGAGAGACAGACAGAAACAGAGATAGCGAGATACTGTAGATAGCGATAGAGAGATAGATAGATAGATCGATAGACAGACAGAAATATCGACAGACAGACAGACAGACAGACAGACAGACAGACAGACAGATAGATAGATAGATAGATAGATAGATAGATAGATAGATAGATAGATAGATAGATAGATAGATAGATAGATAGATAGATAGAAAAATCGACAGACAGACAGACAGACAGACAGACAGACAGACAGACAGACAGACAGACAGACAGATAGACAGATAGATAGATAGATAGATAGATAGATAGATAGATAGATAGATAGATAGATAGATAGATAGATAGATAGATAGATAGATAGATAGATAGACCGACAGACAGACAGACAGACAGACAGACAGACAGACAGACAGACAGATAGATAGATAGATAGATAGATAGATAGATAGATAGATAGATAGATAGATAGATAGATAGAAAAATCGACAGACAGACAGACAGACAGACAGACAGACATACAGACAGACAGACAGACAGACAGACAGACAGACAGACAGATAGATAGATAGATAGATAGATAGATAGATAGATAGATAGATAGATAGACAGAAACAGAGATAGAGAGATAGAGAGAGACAGACAGAAACAGAGATAGCGAGATACTGTAGATAGCGATAGAGAGATAGATAGATAGATCGATAGACAGACAGAAATATCGACAGACAGACAGACAGACAGACAGACAGACAGACAGACAGATAGATAGATAGATAGATAGATAGATAGATAGATAGATAGATAGATAGATAGATAGATAGATAGAAAAATCGACAGACAGACAGACAGACAGACAGACAGACAGACAGACAGACAGACAGACAGACAGACAGACAGACAGACAGATAGATAGATAGATAGATAGATAGATAGATAGATAGATAGATAGATAGATAGATAGACCGACAGACAGACAGACAGACAGACAGACAGACAGACAGACAGACAGACAGACAGATAGATAGATAGATAGATAGATAGATAGATAGATAGATAGATAGATAGAAAAATCGACAGACAGACAGACAGACAGACAGACAGACATACAGACAGACAGACAGACAGACAGACAGACAGACAGACAGATAGATAGATAGATAGATAGATAGATAGATAGATAGATAGACAGAAACAGAGATAGAGAGATAGAGAGAGACAGACAGAAACAGAGATAGCGAGATACTGTAGATAGCGATAGAGAGATAGATAGATAGATCGATAGACAGACAGAAATATCGACAGACAGACAGACAGACAGACAGACAGACAGACAGACAGACAGATAGATAGATAGATAGATAGATAGATAGATAGATAGATAGATAGATAGATAGATAGATAGATAGATAGATAGATAGAAAATCGACAGACAGACAGACAGACAGACAGACAGACAGACAGACAGACAGACAGACAGACAGACAGACAGACAGACAGACAGACAGACAGACAGACAGACAGACAGACAGATAGATAGATAGATAGATAGATAGATAGATAGATAGATAGATAGATAGATAGATAGATAGATAGATAGATAGATAGATAGATAGATAGACCGACAGACAGACAGACAGACAGACAGACAGACAGACAGACAGACAGACAGACAGACAGACAGATAGATAGATAGATAGATAGATAGATAGATAGATAGATAGATAGATAGATAGATAGATAGATAGATAGATAGATAGATAGATAGATAGATAGAAAAATCGACAGACAGACAGACAGACAGACAGACAGACAGACAGACAGACAGACAGACAGACAGACAGACAGATAGATAGATAGATAGATAGATAGATAGATAGATAGATAGATAGATAGATAGATAGATAGATAGATAGATAGATAGATAGATAGATAGATAAATCGACAGACAGATAGATAGATAGATAGATAGATAGATAGATAGATAGATAGATAGATAGATAGATAGATAGATAGATAGATAGATAGATAGATAGATAGATAGATAGATAGATAGATAGATAGATAGATGGATGCATTTATTGTCATCAAATGCAGTTTGCAGTGAGAGAGATCTATTGCTCTCTCCTGTCGGTCATTAGTGTGCGCACACACACACACACACACACACACATTAAGATTCATTTAGCAGCTGTTTTAGCATCAAAATCTATTAGGCAAATTAATGATGCAATTATCTGTTACACAAACCTGATGACTGAACACACTGTACAACACACACACAGTGTGTGAACCGCGGACGCTTCAACGAGCGTCCGTAACACAACGCAAGTACAAACACTAACAACTGCACTTTACCTCGAACACCTTCACAGCAGAGCAGCAGAAGAGCCAGCTAAAGTTAGTTCAGTGTCTGACACGTTTATATACGCTGTTTAATGCACACATTGATACAGTGCTGTTTGAGTGTGAAGCTGTCACAGGAACAGTGTGAATGAGCATCAGCCACAGTGTGTGTTTCTGCAGTGCCGCTCGATGACGGCATCCAGGGGCCCCACAGGCAGAGTCATCAATCACACACAGGCCCTTAATGACCGTCAGCCATCGCTGTTACACTCCTCGACAAAACGCCACAGACAGAGCGTGCCGGAGGACATGCGACCCTGTCAAAACCCCTAAAAAACGAGCCCTTAATCTCAGCCCAAAGCAGCTGGACCTTCATTTGCCTGAGTTTTGTTGTGTTTTCAGCCCACGTTCAGATGAATGAACACACACACTGCGCTCAGAATAGAGGACTAGCATACTACTCGTCACAGCTCTTTCTCATTGGGTTTCTCGCTGTTTTTTAAAAACATATCTCAAGCTGAATTAAAAAAAAATATTAAAAATATTCTGCATAAACAAAAATACAGTATTGCATTTCTAGTGTGTCAAAATTGAATATATCAATTGTACTGTAATTGATTGGACAGTCAGAAAATTTTACACAGAAAATACATAAAAAAATGATGAATAAATAATACAATTAATTGAAGAAAAATGCAAAATAGTCGTATTTACATCTGAAACAATAATAACTGGACGGCAATTTCTTAATTAAACATAATGAGGTCTGTCATTCAAAAGTTTGAGGTCAGATTTTTTTTAAAGATTTTAAAAACTGATCAACATTTATAATGTAATTAACTTTCTATAAGGTAACATTGTATTGGAACAAACCTGAACAAAAAATGTATAACGTCTCAACAAAAATATGAACTGTTTTCAACATTGATAATGATCAGAAATGTTTTCTTGAACATCAAACATGTTTTCCTGATTATCATGTGACACTGAAAAATTAAAAATTAAAACTTTTTGTTTTTATTTTAAAATATATTCGCACAGAAAACAGTTATTTTGATTATTTTAGTTCATCAATATTTCAGTTTGTACTGTATTTTTGATGAGCAGAACAAAAACATTAAAAGATCTTACTGACCCCAAACTTTTAAATGGTAGTATGAGCTTTTGGAAACGTTAGAATACTAACATCAGCATACTATTAAAACATTATTTCACAATTATAGTAGTCTAGGCACAGTTATATATTGTGTCGTATGCAGCATGTATTACACTAGTAATCGATTTCAAACACAATCAACACGCCGTCCATGAGAATCTGACCAATCAAATGACAGATGCAGAGGTCACATGACAACATCTCTCTTACAGTCTTCATTGTGATATTTTTGAGGAAGGTTTTATTCTGTTCAAACTCGAAAATGAGTGAATCTTTTTTCGAGTCATTTGGTTAGAACGAAATGACTTGAAAAAAGATTCGTTCATTTTGATGAACGAGTTTGAACAGGGGAGTCATGAACGCGCTTCACAGAACAGAGCAAGGCGAGCATTTGTGCTTATAAAACTATATTTAACTTATTTATTAAATGAGTGATCGTTTCGCTTGATTAGACCCTTATTCATCGTCTGGTGTCGTTTAAAGCCCTTTGAAGCTGCACTGAAACTCTCATTTGGACCTTGAACCGTTTGGACCCCATTGAAGTCCATTATATGGAGAAAATATTTTCATCAAAAACCTTCATTTCTTTTCGACTGAAGAAAGAAAGACATGGACATCTTGGATGACATGGGGGAGAGTAAAAAGACTTTTTAAAGTGAACTACTCCTTTAATGCTGTCTGTGAGTCTCGTTTGGTGTTTCTAATTCGTTCATAATGTCTCTCTTTAAGAATGGATCGCACAAACTTACTGAGAGTAGAGCATTCGGGAGCGGACGATGAATTTGAAGATGTACTCGAGGGCTTTGAGCGTCCTCAGGATGGGTTCACAGGCCTCTCCTCGACTCGACACGTCCAGATACGTCTTTAGCACGGACATCAACTTCCTGCAGCACACACAACGACACGGAGAGAGTGATCAACAGTAATCAACAATAATTCTCTAAATAACTTAAAGGGTTAGTTCACCCAAAAATGAAAATTCTGTCAGTATTTACTCACCCTCATGTTGTTCCAACCCCGTAAGACCTTCGTTCATCTTCGCAACACAAATTAAGATATTTAAGATATTAAGATCGCTCCTGAATACTAGTCCATAGGCTTCTTGAGGGAATGACTCTTGCTGTCCCCGAAAAGTCATTAAAGACATCGTTAAAATAGTCCAAGTGACTACAGGGGCTCAATCTTAAGTTTATCAAACGACGAGAACACTTTTGTGCGCAAAAAAACAACAAAAATAACAACTTTATTTCAACTATTCACTTCCTTCTCCATGGGCCTGTAGTCAGTTAACGTAGTGTGATTGCGTAAAGCTACGTCACACGTAGGCTCACTATTGGCCGACGCTGGTCATGTGTGTGATGCGTGTGACGTACAATAACAGAAGCTTACGCTATTAAACTAGTAACCTGACTCGCGCAGAGGGAGAAATTAATGAATAGTTGAAATAAACTCGTTATTTTTGTTATTTTTGCGCACAAAAGTGTTCTCGTCGTTTGATAAACTTAAGATTGAGCCCCTGTAGTCACTTGGACTATTTTAACGATGTCTTTTAATGACTTTTCGGGGACAGCAAGAGTCATTCCCTCAAGAAGCCTATGGACTGTATGCAGGAGCGATCTTAATATCTTAAATATCTTAATTTGTGTTGCGAAGATGAACGAAGGTCTTACGGGGTTGGAACAACATGAGGGTGAGTAAATACTGACAGAATTTTCATTTTTGGGTGAACTAACCCTTTAAACTAAATGAATTAAACTACAAAATCAAGATACTTTGAGACAGATAAAACACACAAATTCACTAGAACACACGACTAACGCTGTATGTCAACAGAAATGCTATTATGACGATCTCATCTTCTATGCTTTTTAACCGTTTATCTTTCTTTAGTGTGTAATGTTGATGTTTGAGCATCAGTCACACACACAGTTCTTCTCTATATGAGTGTCAGTGTTTCTGAAACGCCTCCATTGTAGTCTTGAGTTTCTCCCGGGAACGAACACGTCACAATATTCCTCATTATAATAATAAAGGGGCGGGGCCTGGTTGAGTTAGTTAGTAGTGTGTTAAACTGGCGATTATGGAAAGGGGCGGGACATTTCCCAAACACACTCGAAGCACTCGACCAATCACAACACACTGCTCCAGCCGACCAATCAGAGCACAGTGTGCTTTCAGAAGGCGGGGCTTCATAGAGACAGAGTGTTACTGACAGACTGGGAAGAGAGGAGCCGCAATAAAGAGGAAAATAATGTGTTCAAGCATGAAAACCTGTTTGAGTAGAGCCTGAAACAACATCAAGACTGGGCATAATAGGTCCTTTTTAATCATTTATTCACTACCTTATTTGTTACATGGTCCAAGTGACCCAATTCTGGGTGGATATGATCCACGAACGTGTGGCGCACGGATTCTGATATTCTCAGATTGGTTTCATGTGTGGAAATAAATCTGCTATAAATCATACATGCATTTCCATCTGCCATGTGTTCCCGGATATCAATGCGAGTCATATGTCATTGACAGGGTGACAGTGACGAACGACGTCGACTCAACTGCGATCACATGACTCTTTTCAATGGTGCGACGGAGGACGAAGGCTCAACCCGATTTCTTGCTGACCTTTAAAGATGTCCGTAAAGCAAAAGCTTATTTTATCAAATCATTTGCGTCTATTACAAATCGTGACTTTTTTTAGCGTACGCATATAGTGTAAATGCAGATATGGGTCACTTTAAAAAGTGGAAATCAATTGAATTGGGCATGAAGACCTGCAGCCTTCGGGTATCTGAGGATGTGTAACAGATACATGTACATGCGAGGCTCACACACACACACACTGCCATCTAGTGTTGAATGAAGAGCGTTTGACTTACTTGTAAGCCAGTGTGGCGCTGAAGTGTTGTTTGATATACGCCTCCAACACAGTGTTAAAATGCTGAAACTTTCTGTCGGCGATCAGACCGATGATATAGATCTGAGAAAGAGAGAGAGAGAGAGACTCATCTGCAATGCATTAATTATAACAGTCGTTCTAAATCATTGAAAACAAATCTTTCCGTCTTCGTTTATTCTTATATTCTCATTATCTAATTTAGGGACTAGAATCTGTTATTTGAAGTGATATAAATAGGACATTTGGGATCACCCTCGTTTAGAAAAATGATTCATAAATAGAGTAAATAATGGGTTTTGAGTTTTCTTGCAGGGTTTGGGTTAGTCATCCTTTATATAAACACAATAGAAGTCTTTAAAATTGCACTCTTACAAATAAAACTTCTTTATTGGTATCGATGGTCCCATAAAGAACCTTTATCGGCCATGGAACCTTTTAATTGCAAGAAAAGGTTCATTAAAACATTCTTCACAGTAGCCATCAAACCGTATTGACTTTATAGCCCTTAATCCTGTAATTGTGGACAAATGTGGGCACTGAGGACTCAGGTGTGATCCTTATTTTTATTTATTATAAATGTTATATCACTGTCTTCGATAAAGTTTTGTCTATCCATTTATGGTGTTTTTTTTTTATTTTGGGGGTATTTTTGAATTTATTTACTTCAAAAGGTACCATATTTTCTATGTAAATTATGCTTATTTTTGTTTTATTTTTATTTATTTTTTTTAACTACATTAAAATATCATTCCCATAAGTTCTTAGAGCTAAACCTAAAGATGAAGTGACTTTGCTGTTATTTTGGCTTATTTTCGAATGCTCTAAATTACAGATTTTCCCATTCATTTCTATGGCTGCCCATTTTTGACCCAAATACAAGATTAACATTGTAGAATTGAGTAAAAAAAAATTGTGTGTGTTCAGGAGGCAAACTTAGGAAAAGTAGCCAAGTCTTGTACCGCTCAGAACAAGGGAAGTATTTATTAAAAATAAATCAAAACTATTTTGCCCACAATCGTCCAGAATACGGTTTTAGGGTTAAGAAAAAACGGTTCTTTGGGGAACCAAAAATGATTCTTCTGCAAAAACCCCATTTAAACCATTGTTTTTCCAAGTGTGTGTGAGAGTGAGTGAAAGTGAGAGTGAGGGAGCGAGTGAGAGAGAGAGTGAGTGTGTGTGTGTGTGTGTCTGCTTACCAGAGCGTCAAACACCAAAATATCGTAGTCATCAGTCTGAGAATGCTCCATCATGATGTTGAACAGGGCGTCCAAGGTGTCCTGCAGGAACTACACACACACACACACACACATACTCATAAACTACTGTGCATACTGAGCTACAGATGCTCATGTGTAATTTAAGTGCAACACACACCTTCACAACCTCCTCTCCATCAATGAGTTTGAGTTCTTGCAGGTTTTGTTTCAGCATTTCCGGACGAGTCCTCCACTTCAGCAGACCCAACAAACCCACTGAGAAACACAGACAACTGACTCTTAATCACGAGGCATTAATGAATCTGTTTAGTTCATGTGTTTAGCAGTGAATATGTCCGTGTGTGTGTGTGTGTGTGTGTGTTCGTTAGAGTTGCATTGTGATGGATGTTTCCGGAAGATTCATTAGCGTGATTAACGGGCTTTCTCAAGAACAGCTGTTACAGCACACCTGCGTCTCTGTGTGTGTGTGTGTGTGTGTGTCCTTAAAGGGGCCTCAAGATAAAAGTCATTCAACAATGTGTGTGTTGTGTGTGTGGATGTCCGTGTCCCTAAAGGGGTCTCAAGATAAGTCATTCAACAATGCGCAAATGTATGTGTGTGTGTGTCCGTGTACTTAAAGGGCCCTCAAAACAAAACTAATTCAACTGTGTGTGTGTGTGTGTGTGTGTTCTTAAAAGGGCAATCAATAGCACACAATCAGATACAAACACAATTAAAATAGTCTGCTCTACTATTATAGAGTCTCATCAGTATGTTTTGTCCGTATAAATATCAGCATCTGCACTAAATTGCATATTTTTGCTCAGTTTGTGCCTCTGAATAAAAATGATCTGGGTTTGAGCTCCATATTCTCTCTATATCATATGAGCCATAAAAGCCTGATGCATCAAATATGATACTAAACAAAAAAAACACATTTGCATTTACTTTCTTTCTTAACAATAAGACATTTCTGGTGCATGTTATTGTAAAGCGTTTGTTTGTCTGGTCATCTTTCATCACAGAGTAATAACCTGCTTGGAAATGACTTTCCTTTTCAACCAATGTCATATCGAGACCTCTTATTATTCAACTTCCTGTCATGTAGAAACACTTTTCACCACCTGATGAATAAAACCATGTTTTTCCTCCCTGAAGATCTTTTTTTTCACTTGGAAATTCATCACATTACAGAAGTGAAATGGACTGTGAATGTCATTTCATTCAGGATATAAAAGCTTGTTTTCCCCATTCCCCCAACACACACACACACACACACACGTCTGCTTCACTATCTTTGTGGGGACTCTCAATAGACGTGATGCTTTTTATAGTGTACAAACTGTATATTCTCTCCCCTTACACTAACCCGACCCCTAAACCTGCACATCACACATACACTAACCCATCACACACAACTTTCTGCATTTTTACACTTTCAAAAAAAAAAAAATCATTCTGTATGATTTTTAAGCTCAATTTAGGTCCACTGTGACACGAAGTCCCCACTGGGATAGAATCACACACACACACACACACACACACCGTTCTGCGTGAGCTTGGTGGAGCAGACGAGTGTTGCGATGGTGAAGGTGTCTCTGGAGCTGACCGACAGGCCGCCCACACTACTGGAGCTGCGCATCAGCGTCGCCCCCTTGTGGCCGTCAGGGTGACTGCGCTCCGACGGCAGGGACAGGTACGAGCTCACCTCCTCCATACGCTTACTGTCCCCCTACACACACACAGGAGAGACGCAGCATGCCCATGCTCGTTTGTTAGCATGTGAATTAAGTGATTAGCTTAACTGTCATCCACCATATTAGCCTGCAGAAATTAAAATAAACACCCAGTGGATGGTATATGGTTTCTCATATAATGCCTGTTTATTTTTGTGTGCATGATTGGTAAACCTGCATATCATTTGTAAACACTATTAAATGAGGCTTTTTAATCTCATTACTGCATCGTTTAAGCCTATCTAAAATAATTATTATAAAAAAATGCAAATAAAACATCACAAACCCCACGTCCGATTAATTTTAACACTTTTTGTCCCCGGTGAGCATCCGTAAGTGTGTGTTTCTGACCTTAAAGACGGTGAGCTCATGAATGCCATCTCTCAGAACGGTTCCGTCTTCCTTCATCAGACGCACAAACGCCATCGCGAAGTTCCTTTCACTCTTGTCCTTCGCTGCGTCACACAAATCACACATTTACTCATATCTGAATTCACGTCCGCCAACATTCAAAATCATATCTAGACAGACTGGACGTGAAGAGTCTAAATTATAGTCATGTGGCTTTTAATCGATAGCTTTGAGCTCACTGCATCAAAACAGTTATGTTTCCATCCAAAGATGCAATTTTAACTTATGCGCAAAATTGGAATATATGTCTTTTTTGATGCACATCGATGAATTTATTTCGGTAAACGAGAAACATTTATACAACTAAATGCGCATTTTCACAATTTATTTTATCTTGGTATTTCCATCCAGTGTTTTTTTTTTTAATGCAATATTTTAAAATGTGCATAAAAATTTAGATTTCTGTCCAATCACACGCTCTCTCAAGCCCCTCTCCCCTTTAGGAACTTGTTTTTTAAACAACTGAAATTTAATTGAGATTGTTAACTGATTGACATTAACAAAATTATAAAATTATGGCTTGATAACCACAATATTTTTTCTTTATTAAAATATTAAAAGATATATATATATATATATATATATATATATTAGGGCTGTGCAAAAATTAATTACGATTAATCGCATCCAAAATAAAAGTCTGTGTTTACATAATATATTTGTGTGTGCTGTATATAATTATTTTGTATATATAAATACACACACATGCATGTATATATTTGAGAAAATGTGTTATTCATATATAAAATATGTATATTTATATAATATAGATTATGTATTTATATATATATATATATATATATATATATATACATAATTTAAGCGCAAATAATTCTTAAATATATATTTAAGAAAATGTGTTATTCATATATAAAATATTTATATTTATATAATATAGATTATGTATTTTTATATATATAAAATATATATACATAATTTATGCGCAAATAATTCTTAAATATATATATCCATGCATAGGTATTTATATATACAAAATAATTATATACAGCACACACAAATATATTATGTGAACACAGACTTTTATTTTGGATGTGATTAATCACAATTAATTTTTGCACAGCCCTAATATATATATATATATATATATATATATATATATATATATATGTAATTCAGAATTTAATATATATATTATATTAATTATATAATATATTATAATATATAATATTATATTATAATATATATATAATTCAGAACTATGTAAGCTTGTTTCTGCCAGGGAATTAAAAAGGTAAATGTGACTTTTTATCTTTTTATCTGAGATATAAACTCAGAATTCTGAGTTAAAGAGTCAGAAATGAATAAACTCGCAATAGCAAGAAAAATTTTTTTTTTTTTATTCCATTATAAAAAAATACTGTGAAAACTTACACTCCTGTGAGGAGCGATGACGAAACATGAAGCGCAGGTGTATTCTGGGCATCTCCTCCAGAGGAATCGCCACCTAGAGGCCGGAGGAAAGCGTTACTACACACAGACTGACACCAAGCAGGAGGAAAGAAAGATGATGACCTTTGACCAGAGACTGCAGTTTCACACAAACACACACACTAACCCAACCCCTAAACCTACCCATCACGCACACACACACACTAACCCAACCACAGGCGATTTTTTAATGCATTTTACTGGTCTAATTGTGAAAAATTTTGCTCTTATTTATAAATATTCTCTCCAAATCCCCAGGCTTCATTTATGGATGGATAAAGTGGTTGAATGGATAGAATGTATGAATGAAATCAAGTCATGCCTGATATTTTTCTAGTCAACATCCTATTTCAACTATAAACGTCATATAAATGGTTGTGAATGCTGTTTAATGTTCAATATCTCGGTCTCTCTCACCTTAAAAGTCTCCATCCAGCGAGGTTGTTTGATCTGGTAGTAAATGACTGACCTATACTCGTTCACAGGCCGATCTCCAGCTCCCAGACAGATCGAGTTCTGCACGACACGACACAAGAGAGCTGTCAATCAACACCCGAAACATCATTTATATTTAATAATCGAATTTATCAGCTGACCTTTGACCTATATATATATATATATATATATATATATATATATATATAGCTATTAAAAGGTTATTAATTTATTGCAGGATAATACTATTGGGGTTGGATACAAGACGATTTTAACTTTTTGAATACATTTTAAAATGTACATATAAAATGTGAATATGTAAAAATTAGGGCTGTGCAAAAATTAATTGCGATTAATCGCATCCAAAATAAAAGTCTGTGTTTACATAATATATTTGTGTGTGCTGTATATAATTATTTTGTATATATAAATACACACACATGCATGTATATATTTAAGAAAATGTGTTATTCATATATAAAATATTTATATTTTTATAATATAGATTTTGTATTTATATATATATATATATATATACAGAATTTAAGCACTTAAATATATACATGCATGCATAGGTATTTATTTATACAAAATAATTATATGCAGCGCACACAAAATATATTATGTAAACACAGACTTTTATTTTGGATGCGATTAATCGCAATTAATTTTTGCACAGCCCTGATAAAAATACATACACACATATATCCACACATATACATATATATATATATATATATATATATATATTTACACACACATACACATATATATATATACGTACATATATACACATATATATATGTATATATAAAAATTCTTGAAAATAATGCTGCTATACGATTTGACATTTGACATTTTACCAAGATACTTTCAATAAAAAATGTTGTAATAAATAAGTCATTTAATTTAATAAATCATTAATAAACTTGAAATAGTTCAAATGCATATTAAAAAAGATATTTTCAACAATAACAACATGAACACTGATGTGATAACAGGTCATTACAAAATGTTAATTAGAAAATGTTAAATACACACACACCTATATACATGTTCTAGTTATATATTAGGAATACGAGCTGTCAATCAACACAGAAAACATTTCCTTGTCTAACCCATCGGCTGACCTTTGACCTCACTCACCGGCACGATCTTCCCCTCCTCGTCACACACCAGCATGATGACCTCCACGTTCTTCTGCGTGGTTTTGTTGTACTTGTCGAAGTCCCCGGAGTGCAGGGTGAGGTAGATGTCGTTACGGATGTCCCCCGGCATGATGATCTCAGGGAAACCCAGTTTGCGCGCAACCACTGTGCTCCGGTCCACCAGGTGGGGGTATTCCTTCCGGATCTGGATGATGTCGCCCACTAAAGCTTTCATGGTGACCCACAGACCTGAAAAACACACTCCAAAAAATTAACTTTTGAAATTTTTAAAGATTATCTTTTTGAAGTGTGTGTGTGTGGACGGGATTATGAGTATTAAAGCATTAGCGGAGGGAACGCTGCAGTGATGTCATTTGAGCAGGGAAACCACAGTGAGTCGTACCTTGGCCTCCGCTGTCGCCTCGTGACGACGTCACCTTGTTTAGCAGAGTGTGCAGAAAGTCATTCTCAGCTATGACTCTACAAACACACATAAGAATAGAGAACAGTAATTACTTTCAATAATAGCATCACTGCAAATTTTCTTTCGTAAATGCACATTAATAAAAATTTAAAGAAATAGTTACATACAAATGAGCGCACACACACACTGAATATATATAAAAAACAAAAAAAAACAAAATTAGAGTATGACAAAAAGCAAAAATTATGATATAAAATGATTATTGGCCTCGAAAAAAATTAGGTATCACTAAGAGGATCGGAAAAACAGTTTTTAAAGATTTTTTTCTTGACTATGTTGATAAGTATGTTTGAATAACGCCACTACTTTTGTTTTCCTTTTTTACATTTTGGTATTATTATTTATTTTTATTTATTTTTTATGTATTTGGTTGGAGGTTTATGTTTGTAAGTATTGTATGCATGTTCCAGCGTCATTCTCCAAATTGAATGGGGACTGTGAGTGTGATGTACAAAGTATATTGTAATAATCAATAAAAACAAACTTTGAACTAAAATGATTATTGTAACAAAAAACTAATTATGAGAAAAAGTTGAATTAATGTGATTATGATTTTTGATCTCGTAATTATGTATTTTAATGTCATATTGACATTTTAGCATTAAAATGTATTGCAAATATCATTTGACAAATAGACAAATTATAATACTTTCGATAATAATAACAACGGCAACCATGTAAATGTAAATAAAAAGTTAATTAGAAATGTAATTTAAAATATATAAATATAAAATGTAATGTACAAAAAAAAAAAGTGGACTGTTAATTGAAGGACAGAAATCAGGTTTCTTAAACTATGACAGTTGTGTTTGTCTCAACTGTGCTGTGATTCACAGAAAATGAAAATTGTGTGAAAATTGATATGAAAACTCAATTACAACAGGGTGAGCAAACAATGAGAGAACGTCCTCGTTTGGCTGAACTATTCTGAACAGGAGACGAGAAGAGACTTACGGGTGAAAGGGAATGAAATACTGCTTCTCTTCATCACATTCTGCCTTTCCTTTGATGATGTCGCTGATATCCATCACTGCCAATAAACACAGATATACATCTATGTATGCGTCTCTATGATAAATGCAGATCAAATGAGATGATTGAACCTGATATTTACCAGCCACACCAAACGGCCTCCGCAGGCCCGTCGTACATTTCTTATGATGAGCGTCTTTCAGATCCATACGGCCCACGCGCACAATCTGACAGATCAGATAGATCTTCTCTCGGTTCAGGTCTTTATTCCCCAGATCCTTGACGGAGAGAAAGAAGAGAGTCTTTCAGTCTCCAGGACATCAAAACATCTCTGCAGACACTAAATCAACATGTATTTGTAATATAAATGGTCCCTTATGAAAGCCTGTTTCCATCACAAGTATGAGATAAAAAGTAGAAATTACAGTATGACATAAAATGTGAAAAATCTGGCATAACATGACATAAAAGGTTGTGTTATAACGTTAAAAGTCACATTTATGACATAAAAAGTCACAATTATGAGAAGTCAAATTATGAGATTAAAAAGACATCATTATGAGGAAAAAAAGTACAATTTATGAGATTAAAAGATCATTATGGGGGCAAAATCCAAATTTTGAGATTGAAAAGTCAACTATAACTGTAAGTCAAATTTATGACATTAAAAATAATTATAAGATGCATAACATTCATGAGTGTAATTCTTGAGTCATAGTTCTGAGAAAAAAAAATCAAAATGGAGAATTAAGAGTCACATTTAGGAGTCATAATTCATAGATAGTCAAATTTGAGATTAGAAAGTCATATATAAAACATAAAAATTGTGATTTACCAAAGCACGATTTATTTTGATGTGGCAGACACATTGAGTGACTTACAGTAAAGACCACCTTCAGACTGTTGAGCATCTCAATGTCCTTCGGCAGACCTTTATCTCCCCATCTGACCAGATAATTCTCACTGCAGAGAGAGAGAGAGAGAGAGAGAGAGAGAGAGAGATAGTGGTGTTAACAACAAAAACCTGTTAGAGTCAGAATTCAAGAGAGTCAGTGTGTCAGACGCACCTGATGTTGGTCTGTTTGTTGGGGTCATACAGAGACATGAAGAGCTCTGAATCCTCCCCGATTCGACACACAAAGTTACGCACAAACACATAGAGGCTGTGTGTGGGAGAAGACTGGATCCGTGCGGACACTCCGGAATGATCCATCTGAACGTTGGACTGCACAGAGAAAACACATGAAATTATGTAAAAGAACAAATTACTACTACTAGGGTGTTGCTATGTGGTTGCTAAGGAGTGTCATTTAGCACTTGATGGGTTGCTAGGGTGTCCTGAGTGGTTGTTAGAGTGCCTGGACGGTTTCTAAGGAATCATTATCCAGCTGCTAGGGTGCCTGGGTGGATGCGAAGGTGTTGTCAAGTGGTTGCTAGGGTGTCTGGGTGGTCACTAGGTTGTTCTGGGTGGTTGTGAAGGTGTTGTCGAGTTGTTGCTAGGACATTATTAGGGAGTTACAAGGGTGTCCGGTGATCACTAGGTTGTCTGGGTGGTTGTGAAGGTGTTGTCAAGTGGTTGCTAGGACATTATTAGGGAGTTACTAGGGTGTCCGGTGATCACTAGGTTGTCTGGGTGGTTGTTAAGGTGTTGTCAAGTGGTTGCTAGGAAATTATTATGGAGTTATTAGGGTGTCTGGGTGGTTGCTATTGCACCTAGGTGATTGTGAAGGTGTTGTCAAGTGGTTGCTAGGCCATTAATATGGAGTTACTAGGGTCTCAGGGTGGTTGCTAGTGCATCAAGGTAATTGTGAAGGTGTTGCTGAGTGGTGACTAGGGCATTATTATGGAGTTACTACTGTGTCTGGGTGGTTGCTAACGTATCTAAGTAATTGTGAAGGAGTTGTGAAGTGGTTGCTAGGACATTAGGGAGTTGCTAGGGTGTCTGAGTGATCGCTAGGTTGTTCTGGGTGGTTGTGAAGGTGTTGTCAAGTTGTTGCTAGGACATTATTAGGGAGTTAAAGGGTGTCCGGTGATCACTAGGTTGTCTGGGTGGTTGTGAAGGTGTTGTCAAGTGGTTGCTAGGCCATTAATATGGAGTTACTAGGGTCTCAGGGTGGTTGCTAGTGCATTAAGGTAATTGTGAAGGTGTTGCTAAGTGGTGACTAGGGCATTATTATGGAGTTACTACTGTGTCTGGGTGGTTGCTAACGTATCAAGGTAATTGTGAAGGAGTTGTGAAGTGGTTGCTAGGACATTAGGGAGTTGCTAGGGTTTCTGAGTGATCGCTAGGTTGTTCTGGGTGGTTGTGAAGGTGTTGTCAAGTTGTTGCTAGGACATTATTAGGGAGTTAAAGGGTGTCCGGTGATCACTAGGTTGTCTGGGTGGTTGTGAAGGTGTTGTCAAGTGGTTGCTAGGCCATTATTATGGAGTTACTAGGGTCTCAGGGTGGTTGCTAGTGCATTAAGGTAATTGTGAAGGTGTTGCTAAGTGCTGACTAGGGCATTATTATGGAGTTACTACTGTGTCTGGGTGGTTGCTAACGTATCAAGGTAATTGTGAAGGAGTTGTGAAGTGGTTGCTAGGACATTAGGGAGTTGCTAGGGTGTCTGAGTGATCGCTAGGTTGTTCTGGGTGGTTGTGAAGGTGTTGTCAAGTTGTTGCTAGGACATTATTAGGGAGTTAAAGGGTGTCCGGTGATCACTAGGTTGTCTGGGTGGTTGTGAAGGTGTTGTCAAGTGGTTGCTAGGCCATTAATATGGAGTTACTAGGGTCTCAGGGTGGTTGCTAGTGCATTAAGGTAATTGTGAAGGTGTTGCTAAGTGGTGACTAGGGCATTATTATGGAGTTACTACTGTGTCTGGGTGGTTGCTAATGTATCTAGGTAGTTGTGAAGTGGTTGCTAGGACATTAGGGAGTTGCTAGGGTGCCTGAGTGATCGCTAGGTTGTTCTGGGTGGTTGTGAAGGTGTTGCTGTGGCATTATTATAGTTACTAGGGTGTGTTGCTAGTGTATCTAGGTAATTGTGAAGATGGTTGCTGGGGCATTATTATGGAGTTACTATGTCTGTGTGATCGCTAGGCTGTTCTGGCGTTGCTATGTGGTTGCTAGGGTATTGAGCTTTTGCTAGTGTGTCTGGGTGGACGCGAAGGCCTTGCTACAGTAGGTCATTATTATGCTGTTGCTACGGGGTTCTGGGAGATGTTTAGTTTGATAAGTGTCATAAGGTTATAGTGAGCTACATTCACAGCAGACTTGGACCTTGAGGAATGTCGAGCCATGGGATCTCATTGCTTTAGTTTGTTCAGCCATCCTGAACATCTAAAAAAGTCTCATTAAAACTACCAACTCTGTGATGCTCATGAGAAGTTTCATTCTGACGGTTCGAGCATTAAATGAAAGTGAAATGAGAACCTGTTCCTCTTTAATTCGCTCTGTGATCTTGACCGTGGCGTCCTCGTGTGCTCGGAAGAGGCTGATGACGCTGGCTCGCTCGGGGTCGAGGATATTCCCGTCAGCATCCCGAACAACCACATCCAGCTCCAAGATCCTGGAGGCAGAACAACACTTGATTGGACTCATCTTTGAGAGGTTGTACTCGCTCACATTTACATGATTATTCAGCACACACACACACACACATGCTTGAAATAATCTGACTGATGTGTTCTTGCCCGGAGCTCTGTGAAATCCTGTGCTCCCATGATGCACCTCAGCCATGATGTTCTTCGTTTCATTAAGACTCGCTCTTGCACATAACGTACAGCAACATTCAAGCTTGGCATGGATCACTGGCATGGATTTTGCTTTGATCTGTATTTTGTTTGGTTAATCTATATTTCACTCTTTACTGAAGACAAGAGTCACTAACGGAGTAAGAACAAGGAAAGTAATGACATTTAAGCAATAAAACAAGGATACAATGTTTTACAGGTAGGTCTATCAGGAGAAATTTAATCAAATAATCAAATATTAAATAAAACACTGCATAGTCTTCACTGTATGAACTAGAGGATCAATTCAGAATCACGTTGTTATTTAACCGATTACACGATTCTCCCACGATTCTGAACAGACAACTAAACAAAATAACATGTAATTTACTTTTGCAACACCATAGCAACCACCCAGAACACCCTAGCAACTGCCAAGCAACACCCTAGCAACCACCCATAACACCCTAGCAACTGCCTAGCAACACTGTAGCAACCACCTAGAACACCCTAGCAACTGCCAAGCAACACCCTAGCAACCACCCATAACACCCTAGCAACTGCCAACCAACACCCTAGCAACCACCCATAACACCCTAGCAACTGCCTAGCAACACTGTAGCAACCAGCTAGAACACCCTAGCAACTGCCAAGCAACACCCTAGCAACCACCCATAACACCCTAGCAAATGCCTAGCAACACTGTAGCAACCACCTAGAACACCCTAGCAACTGCCAAGCAACACCCTAGCAACCACCCATAACACCCTAGCAACTGCCAAGCAACACCCTAGCAACCACCCATAACACCCTAGCAACTGCCTAGCAACACCGTAGCAACCACCTAGAACACCCTAGCAACTGCCAAGCAACACCCTAGCAACCATCCATAACACCCTAACAACTGCCTAGAAAGACCGTAGCAACCACCTAGAACATCCTAGCAACTGCCAAGCAACACCCTAGCAACCACCCATAACACCCTAGCAACTGCCTAGCAACACTGTAGCAACCACCTAGAACACCCTAGCAACTGCCAAGCAACACCCTAGCAACCACCCATAACACCCTAGCAACTGCCTAGAAACACCGTAGCAACCACCTAGAACACCCTAGCAACCGGGTGGTGAGTTTTGCCTCTGCAAGCACCACTTCACATTTTCTTCTGGAAATGTACATTCTAGTTGTTAATTGCAGCAGTCTATTTAAAATTTGAATGAGTGAAATATTAAATGACTCATTCATAAATACTTGACTTGTTTCATTACTAGATAAATTTGCGTTATTGAACAAGCCACATATTTTTTACAGTCACTTGTCGCCACCTACTGGTGTAACGATGTAATCAATATTATCATTATTTGCAGTGCCTTCAAATAACAATACTTTCTATGCTTTTTCTATGCAATACTTTTTTAAAGTTACTTTCTAAAGGTGATTTACTCAATTTTAAACACTACCGTAGACATTAGTGTTTATATCCGATATATAAACCTTTATCCCAGTTCTTCTGTGCTAATATGAATATTTGTGACACAGAAATACAGTAAAACATAATTCTCTCTGGATCAGTGCTTTAAACACAGATTGTAAATTTTCCAGTGTGATTTTGTTGAAGGTTTAATAGAAACCGGTGTAATCGTTTTCGTTTAGGAATAAAATCGTATGGGTTTTTAAACCGAGCTCGCGATTTTTCAATGATTAATTGTGCAGCTCTAGTATTATTGAATCCTTATTTAAGCAACAAAAGTTATTCAGCCAAGAGCAGAGCTTAATTAAATATGTTGTTAAATTGACAAATGGCAGCAGGTTTATTAGGCTCCTGTCACTTTAAGACCTAATGCACAATCCAATAGACCATTTCACAAGATGTAAACAACACTGGTCCAGAAACACTTCCTGTTTCAGTTTGTAACTCTTTTCTTTATTTCACATGTAAAGAAAACATCTTAAAGATGTTTGTTTAACATTTTGATTCAGTTTTAAATGTTCTGTTGGTTGTATTTTATCCCAGCTTTTATGTAGTGTTAAAAAACTGAAACAGGAAGTGCTTCTGGACCAGTGTTGTTTACATCTTGTGAAATGGTCTATATATTGACTGATACACATCTGATTTTCTCCTGTTTACATGCATCCACCAATACTAAAAATATATAACATGATATCTTGAGAAAACAAGAATAAAGTCAGTAATTCATTCCCGTTCAGGTGTCAGAAAGACATTTTTATCCCCTTGAGGTTTGTTAATTAATTCCTTTATGATAATGTACAAATTAACTAATAGCCCAGAGCAAATCACAGAAGCTATGAGTAGAAATTACACCAGCCGTCTGGATCCCATTATTCTTCATTTGATCAGATCTGTTATAAAGGTAGTGTTTTTTTCCTCAATAATGTATTTGTAGATGATAATGCCATAATATTGTATGATTACTTTCATAATGCCATTGGCACGGTCAAAAATAAACGGACATGGACACAAATAGAAGAGACACTTGAAATATGTACTTATTTCCGTAGTCGATCTTTGAGGTGACTTTCTGTTTGAGTTCCTTAAACTCGTCACTCGGCAGCGTCCCGGACAGCAGCTGGGAACGCCACTCCATTAAATCCCACATCAGCCGCTGGACCTGACTGAAACGATCCTTCTTACTGGACTGCTGAGAAACAAAGACAATCACTGATCAGAACGTTCAGGTTGTGCTAGGGTGACCAGATGAGATTGGCTGAAATTTGGGACGGGCTGCAGGCCTACTATGACATAGCCTATGATAAAAGATAATGGGCCCTATTTTAGCGATCTGAAACGCAAGTATCTTTCTGGGCTTTTAAATTCAACAAAAGAAAAAGTTCCAAATGGTTCTTCTTAGGCAGCACTACAAAAAGCCCGTTTGAATAAAGAACTTCTTTTAAAAATATAAAGAACCTTTTGTGTTTATGAAAGGGTTCCGTGGAACTTAAAGGTTCTTTGTGGAATCCTGGACACCTTGATTTTTAACACACACATTTAAATGTCTTACCAAATAGAGCTGTTTCCAGATGGTGCCCCATTCTCTCAGTGTGGTGGTCACCTCCTTCACCAGCGGCATCTCAACAGAGGTAATGACCTCCTCATCTCTATGGATGGATGGATGAATGGAAAAACAGTCAGTAGATAGATAGTTGGATGGATGGATGGATGGATGGATAGATAGATGGATAGATGAATTAAATGATGGATGGATGGAAAAACAGTCAAAAGATAGATGGATAGATAGATGGGATGGATGGAAACAGTCAGATATATAGATGGAGTAATTGATGGATGGATGGAAAAACAGTCAATAGATAGATAGGATGGATGGATGGATGGATGGATGGATGGATGGATGGATGGATGGATGGATGGATGGATAGAAACAGTCAGATATATAGATGGATTAAATGATGTATGAATGGAAAAACAGTCAATAGATAGATAGATAGATAGATAGATAGATAGATAGATAGATAGATAGATAGATAGATAGATAGATAGATAGATAGATAGATAGATAGATAGATAGATAGATAGATAGATAGATAGATAGATAGATAGATAGATAGATAGATGGATGGAAAAACAGTCAATAGATAGATAGGATGGATGGATGGATGGATGGATGGATGGATGGATGGATAGAAACAGTCAGATATATAGATGGATTAAATGATGTATGAATGGAAAAACAGTCAATAGATAGATAGATAGATAGATAGATAGATAGATAGATAGATAGATAGATAGATAGATAGATAGATAGATAGATAGATAGATAGATAGATAGATAGATAGATAGGATGGATGGATAGAAACAGTCAGATATATAGATGGATTAAATGATGTATTGATGGAAAAACAGTCAAAAGATAGATGGATAGATAGATGGATGGATGGATGGATGGAAACAGTCAGATATATAGATGGAGTAATTGATGGATGGATGGAAAAACAGTCAATAGATGGATGGATGGATGGATGGATGGATGGATAAAACAGTCAGATTCAGAGAAATATATATAGATAGATGGATGGACGGACGGACGGAGGGACAGACGGAAAAACAGATTGATAGGTATATAGATGGATGAATTGATGGATGGATGGACATACTCACCCTCTCTTTTCGATGATGACTTCCTTAAGCACTATAAAGTTGGCAGGAAATGCTCCCTTAAATAAAGGAAGAAAGTAAATCAGCCGGCAGGGAGTAGAGGAAGTTCAGCTCAGATATTCGGGAAGAGAACATTCTGCTCTTGTACAAACACTACCAAACAAATATGCATTTACTCACTTTTCTCTCTTTGTTCTTGATCACGTAACCTTTATACCATCCTGGAACAACACCACACTGGATTATATTTCAGACAATTTATGAGAACATTTCTATAATCAAGTCACCCTTAACCCTCTGGGGTTGTTCGGCCCAAATGGACCAGAAGAATTTAAATAAAAAAAATTAAAAAATCACAACTTCCTCCGAATGGTATGAAATTTAGTGACTTTGTTGGTATTTGGTATTTGAACACCCAAAAAAATTGGGGACAGGATGTGAATAGTCTAAGTGGTTGTAAAAAAAATAATGGAAAATTAATGGGAAATTGGCAAAAGTGTGAAAATACTGAGTTTTTTTGTGCGTACAATCTACAAATCAGCCACGATCTTGAAAAAAAGCACACAACAGTGAAGGGGTGAATCAGACACATCCACACACAAACACACTTTTATACACAAACACACCAAAAAATTCAGATTATACATGTGTTTTGCATTTTTAAAATGCTCAGTTTGTCCACCAAATGGCATCCATCTAATTTCAAAAATTGCTTTTCGAGGCCTAGGCTTGACTCTAAAATGAAATACAGCTTTAAAAAAAAAATTAAAAATATTTTTTTTAAAAAATTTTCTATTATGTTCAATGGAGGAAATTTCGTCATAATTATTCCACTAATACTAATTATAATTTTTTTTTATATTTGAAATATTCTCAAAACACCAAAAAAGAAAAGAAAAAATATTATAAAAAACGAGTAAAAAAAAAATTTTTAAATATGAATCCTGGCCTTTGGGTCCATTTGGACCCGAACACCCCGAGTGTGACTCTGAAACGAACAACCCCAGAGGGTTAAGAGTCTTTTACTATGAAGAGCTGTGTTCACACTTGTAGTTCGGTTCACTTTCAGTTTGCTTAGTGTTCACACTGACATTTTAACACCGAACACGAGTAAAGAATCGCACCTGTAACGAAACCAAGCTGAAGAGGTGATCTCGGTGCGGTTTCAAACTAATTCTGGTAGAGTTCATTTAAGGTGAATTCCTGCCCAATGAATGTTGAATTTGTTTATTACAAATTTTGGCTCAATTGCAAAAAGGCCAGTGTGAAAGCAAGCCACAAAACATCAACAGTGTATTTTATCCGGACCGAAGCAAGTGAACCAGCGGACTGTCCTGGTGTGAATACACCCACTAACAGAGCGATCGCACCAGGGTATGTTTCAATCCAAAACAAGCAGTGTGAACACACCCTAAAACCCCAATAGAGCATGCTTATAATTTCCATGCATGTACACTTTGAATGCAATATAATTCCCTGTTAAATGCATAAACCAAAAGTAAATGCAACATCCCAGAATCCCTCACCTTCACATGACTCCTGTATGTGGACCGTGTCCCCGACGGCCAAGGACAACTGCTTTTCCACTTTGGCGTTGAAATTCCACTTAACTTCAGAGAAAACACAAATTGCATTTTAAAACGCATAAAGTCACAGTTTGGATTAATTTCTCAAGTGATGCCCAGCAGAATGAGATCCTTTAAGAAACTGTCCTCAAACACTTTGCTTTCTTCTTGTCTGGTGTGAAAATAAGTCAAAAAGCACAAACGCTGCAGGACGACACACACTCTGAACTTTAATTCTTTAGCCAACTTCAATGACATGGATATGTTAAACTGCACACACACACACACACACACTGTATTTCTGCAAGTATGTGTTCGTTGGCCTACTTCCTCTCAGAGCAGCTTCCTGTGCAACACCACACACACACACACACACATAGATACACGCCGCCATCAGCATGTTTACAATTAAAATAAATTTCAATAAGCAATTCGTATGCATTTACAGCACATGAGCAGAAAGCTTTTTATAATTTTAGCATGTGCAATATCCTCATTTATTCACTATACTGATCTAAAAATCTGCTGACCACAGCAAGTCAGAAGTCAAAACACTTTCAAGACTTTTTCGCACAGAAATAACTAGTGCGAGTTCAACATTAACAAATAAAGTTACTCTAATCAGCGTCGCCATCTCAAGCTCTTCCTGGACGCTTCACACACACGAGCTTCTGTTGATTCAAAGTGGATTTCAAATGTCATTTGCGTGAAATATTTCAACCAAAGAGGCTTAATGAAGTTCTCGCGTGTTTGATTTAATTCACTTTGTCTCGGATGTTTCTTGAAAACACACAAAATCAGTGTTATTTTAGTGCATTTCATGAGTTGAAACTGAGATCTCTGACTTGTGATTGCAAATTTGAGCACATTTTGAGACATTAGTGAGATGAAAGATGGCTTTCTCTTCTCATTGCGGTCTATGAAACACAACCAAGAGGTCTCAACTCACGCAGGCATCCTCTAAAAGTGAAATGTTGCTCTTGAGTTATTCAATCTCGTGAAAGCACATTCGTTCAGCAAACAGACTGAGAAGGCAAACGCTTTAGACTGAAATAAGTGAAAATGTGCTAAGACGTTCAGGTGTGTTCAATAACTTTGATCAACCATTTTTTAATGCATTTCTAATGGAAATCATCATAAATCTGAATTTTTACAGGAAAAAACTAAATGCTGCAATCTGTTTAGGCCAGTGACTGTGGAGCCGCTCGACTGATCCGTCTCTGCCCACATCCGGAGAAATAGGAACTGAATTTGTGTGACTGTAGACGGCCGCTGAGAGAGCCGATAGGGATATACACAAACACACACACACACACACACAAATGCACAGAAAACATTGATTCCTGCACAGGTGAATCACAAAATAAAGGCCAAACTCACCAACTCCATATCTTTCAGAGCTGGTTTTTCTCCAAGGCGCCATCGGTTGGACTTTGAAACGCTCTCCTGCGTCTCTTTCTGTCTGTATGTGATCTTTCCGAGTATCTCAGTTCCTTTCTGATGTCCTACACCGGCTGTGTTTTTGGGTGAGGGTGTGAGAAATAACCATGAAGTGCTCCTCCTCCTCTCTGTCTGACTGTGTCTGCTTCTTCCTCTTCCTCTTTTGGCCTTCCATCGGCTGACACACGTAACGCAGCATGTTGAGTCCCAAACTCTGCTGTGATCTACTACAGTGTATTAGGGTGTGTGATGGAGCACTTTATGAATCTTTAATGCTGGAGGAAACATCTGGTGTGGGACGAGATGTTTGATTTATGCATCTGAGAGACAGGTTTATACAAACACACAAACAAGCTCTATTTCTGTACTCATCAAACATCAGAATAATGTCAATGTTCAGGCGCAATACTGAGAGTAGCCTACAGAGGGCAGTGCACACTCTCTCGGAGAGATGGTGCACAGACTTCATCATGCAGCTGAATTGAAGCAGGGTTATTATCATTAACTAAAACTACTAATATTGAAACATTTCTGTTCATTGAAATGAAGCTGAAATAACTGAAAATATCAAAAACTCAAACTGAATGCATGTTGCCTTGGAAATATAAAGTAAATTATTTAAAAATAAGTTGAAGTAGCTACTAATTCGATGAATAACTGGATATGAACAATTAATTACTTACATTTAAAAAGCACATAATGAAATTATTAAAAATGTAACAAATTACCATGAAAACTAAAAGTATAAAAACAAAAGCTAATTCAAAATGTGAAACTATAATAGTTTCATTTGAGAAACTATAATCTAAAATAACAACTGAAATAACAAAAGTAGAATTTTAATTTTAAATTTGTTTTTATTTACAATTTTAGTTTTATTTTTGTTTAAGTTTCAGCGATTTTTGTGTGTGTTTGTCATTTTTATTATTATTATTATTATTATTATTATAATTAAGTAGGCTTATGTCTATATACTTTGTATTTGTTTCATAGAAATAAAATAAGTTGAATAACTAAAAATTATTTAAATAAGTTGAAGAACTAAAAATTATTAAGTGGAAATAAAATAAGTAAATAAGTTAAATTTAAATCAATAAATAAATCACAAAAGCACATAACAAAATTACTAAAAATGATCATGAAAACTACGTAAAATAAAAGCTAATTATAATGGAACAAAAAATAAAACTTAAATAACAAGTAGAAATGTCTGTTTTTAATTCATTTTTATTTTTCGCTTACTTTTTATTTGAACTTTAAAGTTTTTTATTTCATTGCGTTTTGTCATTATTATTATTATATTTTAGTATGTCTTTATACTTTTTAACTCGGTTTTATTTTGTATTTCCTGTTGTTGTTGTTGTTGTTTTTTTAGATTAAGTTAAAAGTGTTAGTGCTTTTTATTATTTGCTTTTTTTCAATATGAATAAGTAATACTTATAACACTTATAAGTGATCATATCACATAAGGGTTTGTAAACCCTAACGCTCAAAATAATTAATTGGTACGTACGAGTAGGAAAAACTTAAAATAAACTAAAAAAAAGCCTCCGGAAGTTTCATCCGTCATAAAAAAAATCTAATCGGGTTCGAATTTCTGCATGTTTCGCATCCGTAGCCAGCAGTTTGAATGGTGTTTTGACAATTCAGAGCCACAGAATCACGAATACGAAAAAACGCATACGAACATTTCGGACTCAGTGTGCAATGGCCTTTACAACCACCCAGAACACACAGTTATGTTCAGAAAACGTCAAATTTCTGTTACATCCATATGATTCATCATTGAATGCCAACATTTCTGCATGTGGCAATTCTAAAATCAGCTGGAGGCCTACTGAGAAACAGGACAGCTCCTCACAGAAATAAACACAGCCTTTTGTTGAAGCACAAAGAACTTCATAATACGCCCCATAATGCATCAGTCACTTTGATTTAAAGAGACCCAAACATCTCCGCTGGTGATGGGTTTTAATTTGGATCAGACCACATTAAGCCTTATTCGCCACAACAGCACAGGGAAGCAAAAATACAGAGATTAACTTGAAATATTTAATCAAAATGATAATCAGTTGTTTGATACTCACACCAGCATGTCCGTCGCTGTCGGGATCGTGTTGGTTAAACCCCATCAGCTCACCACTGAACAACACATTAAAAAACACGATTAGGGAAAGTCATGGCACCCATGAGGCAAATTATGTGGATAATAATCAATAATAACAATCAATAGGCAATTGTAAAGCATCGAATAAACACTTCAAAGCAAATGTAATAATATTGATTTGTTTATAAAAGATGTGGAGCTGAATTTATAAGAATTCGAAAGTGGCAATAAACACTTGATAAGTGTGTGTGTGTGTGTGTGTGTGGAGAGAGAGAAGTGTCTGATTGGCTAACTGAAGAAGTGTGTCGACTTATAGAAATGGAGTGTGTGTGTGTGTATAGAGAGAGATGCGTCTGATTGGCTAACTGAAGAAGTGTGTCGACTTATAGAGATGGAGTGTATGTGTGTGTGTGGTAGAGAGAGAGAGAGAGAGAGAGAGAAAGGCTAGAGTAACAGAAGATTGAAGGTCGTGCGAGGTAAGTTATGCTGCTGGCGCTTCACATATACACTCCTTTTGGCGAAATCACACACACATTAAAACTGCATGCTCGACATTGTTTGTGTGTGATAATGCAGACTAGAATAATGTTCAAATCTCCTGGACGGATAAACGCTGGAAATATCAGATAAACACATCCATAGAGAAGGTCAAGAAAATGTGGGAAGGAGTGTGTTTGTGAATCAGTGCTGAGATCGAGTGTGTGTTAGACGTTCGTTAGAAGTTTGTGGCCGTTGCTCTTTTCAACAGAAGACGGGCTGCTTTATCTGACTAGACAGACTTGATCTGATCGGATCATCTTGCCTGAGCTTGTGCAGTTCGATCGCATCTGTGTGTGTGTGTGTGTGTCGGATGTCTTCAGAGGGGGCTAAAAGAAGTAAAGAAGTGAATCACACTCTATTTGATCAATGTAGACAATTTTGTGTATGCGTGTCAGAGGAATCACAAGATGAAACGCATGCCCTCTTCACATCGCACCTCTTCAGTTTACTTCAGAAATAACAAACAAATCATCTCATCATTTAAAAGGATACGGTTTCCTAGCAACCCAACACCCATGACGACCATGCTTGTCAGAAGCAATCAAAAGACGAGCGGCTGTATTCCTCAAAGACTTCCTGACAGCCTCCGAAATGAGGAGGAAACACTGACAAATGTGTTTACAAGCCAATCGATGAACGAACTCTTAAACGCACAGGAACATGAAGTCATCAAAATCACACCAACACGCCACCTGTAGTCTTGGTAAGATCACTGAGAAAACATTTCAACTGTTTCATTTTTAAAAAAAAGTATCACTCTTAGTAGAGAAGGTTCCGTAGAATCTTAAAGGGTTCCGTCAGCCGCTTCATATTTAGAATTCTTTAGGGGTTCCATTTTATGGACTTAAATTAAATGTTATAACTCAAACACTTAAAGGAGTAGTTCACTTTAAAAAAAAAAAAAAAAAAAAAAACTTTTGCTGATAATTTTTTCACCCCCATGTCATCCAAGATGTCCACGTCTTTCTTTCTTTAGTCGAAATGAAATGAAGGTTTTTGATGAAAACATTCCAGGATTTTCTCCATATAATGGACTTCAATGGGGTCCAAACGGTTCAAGGTCCAAATGAGAGTTTCAGTGCAGCTTCAAAGGGCTTTAAACGACACGATGAATAACCGTACGTTCACACCGCCGCCGGCGAGAGCGGCAAAATTCGCTCTTGCCGCTCTGTTATCGACGCCGTGGAAGGATTCGTGGATGCTCTTGATGCTCGTGATCTTTTTTAAAACGGTATTTAAAGGGGCCACAAAGCAAACAAGCATGTCAGTCGTTATTTTTGCAGAAAATTGATCGATGGAAATAACTTTGAAATTATAGTGACATGTTTGCTAACGAAATAAACAAATTAAAAGCCATACGTGTGTGGTGTGGCTTGTGTGTTCATGGTTAAGTGCTATTATAATTTGCATTCTCGCTAAAAAAAACTGTTCTAGCGCGAAAATCTTGCCTATAAATAGTGTTGCGCGCCCTCTTATCAAATTCAAATTATCAACCTCCTCTATTTTGCTTGGGAACTAATGTGGCCGGAACCAAAGTTTACAGGACTGCGTTCTCTGGGATTCTCTCAAACGGAGCACTTCTACATTCCGATTGGTTGCCGCCGAACCGCGTCATCGCTTACTACCATAAAGTTGAACTGATTTCAACTCTGCTCACCACTCTCGCCGGAGCTCGCTAATGAAAATGAATAACTTCCGGCCACTTTGACGCTCTCGCCGGTGGCGGTGTGAACGTACAGTAAGGGTCTTATCTAGCGAAACGATCGTTCATTTAAAAAATAAATTAAAAAGTTTACGTTTTATAAGCACAAATGCTTGTCTTGCCCTGTTCTGTGTGACTCTCCTGTTCAAACTCGTCCATCAAAATGAACGAAACCTATTTCAAGTCATTTTGTTCGTTGAATGAACCAAATGACTCGAAAAAAGATTCGTTCATTTTGATGGAGGAGTTCGAATAGGAGAGCATTTGTGCTTATAAAACTTAAACGTTTTTATTTATTTTTGTAAATGAGCGATCGTTTCGCTAGATAAGACCCTTATTCATCGTCTGGTGTCGTTTAAAGCCCTTTGAAGCTGCACTGAAACTCTCATTTGGATCTTGAACCGTTTGGACCCCATTGAAGTCCATTATATTGAGAAAAATCAAAAACCTTAATTTCTTTTCGACTGAAGAAAGAAAGACGTGGACATCTTGGATGACATGGGGGTGAGTAAATTATCAGCAAAAGTTTTTTTTTTTTTAAAGGGATGCTCTACCGTTTTTTCATATTAAACGTTATTCCGTTAGCTAAGACGAGTTGATACACACCTCTGTCATCTCAATTGGAGCACGATCAGAGTAACTCGACCTAGGACGGTAACACAAAATAAAACGTTGCACTTTTCTTAGCGTGTAAAGTGGATAACTATATTGTATGGCAAAATACCACAGCAAGTGCTTGGGAGCATTGAATGAACCGGGCTAGTTAAGAGCGATCAAAGTGTCTCGTGTGTGTGAGAGGTATGCATCAACTCGTCTTAGTTAACAGTTTAATATGAAAAAACAGTGAAGTATCCCTTTAAAAGTGAACTACTCATTTAAAGTATAAGAGCTGCTTTACAGCTGAAATTACTTTCATTCATAATTATAGAACTTTGCCGCATTAATACTTTTTTTTTATTACTGTAAAGTTGAAAACGTAATTGAAAAGGGCTCGTCAGAAGGCAGATGTGCCATGCTGACATTGCCGAAGCAAATGTTGAATATTTCATAATCTGCTAAAATTTTAACGCTGAAGGTTTCTAGCAATAGCAGAGGAGAAATATGAGACACTGACGACAGCAAACTAAGTGTTAACGCTTGACATTAAGTTAATTAGACAGTCCATATGTTTCGAAATCATTAAATCAGATCTATTTTTATAGGGAAGAACAGCTTTTTCTCTCTGAAAGATAATCAGGACACAAAAGCAGAGAGACTTACATACAGTGCAATCATAAGCAATACATCTCAGATGTTTCTTCTACAACGCAATGGAGATTTTTACTGAAGTCTCCTGATTCTCAGAGGTTTTTCCAGAGTAAAAGACAAGAAGAATCTCAGTGTCTTAAATTGTGTAAAAAGTCAGAGATCTCTTTGGGAACTCAAACATTTTAGGTGAAACATCTGAGAGAGATCCACGGGATCCACATTTTCCCTGCGTATAGTCATTCAATTTTAGGAATTTGAATCATGCTAATTTATTTCTCAAAAACGGTGGACTAAATGGTTGTTAAAGTCCCCTCTAGTCAATAATTGTATCCGTTAAAACTCATCATTGATCACCAAAATGACATTTGTAAATGTTTTTTTTTTTTTTGCTTGAAAAAAAATCGTCATGCCTCAAAGCTACACTGTGTAACTCTTAGTTTATTCTTAGCTAAAAACACTTCTTTCAAAAATATATGTGCTCATTAATGTATATTTACTTCGTTCAAGTAATAAAGTATTCTCGTGAGAGTATAATATGCCATTGAAAATACATACGGGTAAGGGGTTCGCCATGTTGCCCCTCCATCTTGACAGTACATTAGCCAAAGAGGGACATACCCGTTAATTCAAGCTTCGCCTTTCGCGTTTACGTTTGAGTTAACACTCATGGACGAGGTCGAAGTGGAAGCCATGTTAATCTTGGACTACATTGGCCAACGAAATCGGAATTGAGAGGAACAGAAACTAATATTCACTGGATGGTCATATACCTTTTCACCACTAGATGGGGGTAAAAATCACACAGTGTAGCTTTAAAATAGCTTGACTGTTACTCGACACTATACGTGGTTCTATGACTATGCAAATGAGCCCCGCCTCCACTCACTCACAACAGCTCAGGGATCCACTCGTTGGCGATCACACGTTGATCTGATAAGTAATATACATTGAAGAATACGAGAGAAAAAAATAATGCAAAATTAAAGTAAAATTATAAGTAAATGAATTCAAATTCCCTTCATTATGGCATTGGGATCAAATAAAAAGAACTGAAATGATAGCTAGCTATCTGTAGAAATGGTGAGGTTAATATTTAATGCAATATAGTAAGACATATACTGAAACATACTGCAATAGTATAAGTGACCCAGTTGACAGATATTAATTTCTTCCTCGTATCTCTCTCACACACACACACACACACACCGACCGTGGAAAAGCTTTCAGCAGATGCAAGGTCAAAGTCAAAAACTGCAAGTCGTGTGAATCTATTCATACAGAATATCATAATCCGTCCGGGAATGTGCCGCTAACGAGTGCTTACAAAGTCTCTTAAAGGAAGAAGAAAAGAGTGTGTTTACTTTGAACGAAGCTAATGTGTGCAGATATGACATTATCTCCACTCAGGCTTTGATCGTAATGTGCCATTTTTGTTGTGCTACACTAATATGAGTGTTAGAGCATTCGGTTTCCTTTCAACTTATTGTCCTACACACACACCTGAGAAAGCATTACGTTACTCTGCAATAAATGTCTTTTACATGCTCAACAAACAGTGTGTGTGTGTGTGTGTGTGTGAAGCTGAAACTTGATAATAAAATCACCTGCTTTAGTGATTATTCGATTTATTTCAAAGTGTTTCCCAAAAGTTCTGCTATAAAGAGCCGGGGTCGGCAACCTTTAAAACATGAAGTAAACCATGATGTTCAAGGGTGTCCCAGTCTGCACTGCTTTATGGATTATTCATGCACAATTTCCAGTTGTTTTACTGTTTTCTGCATTGTTTACACTGATGTCATGTTTGTTGTTCTCTGAGTTATGTGGAAGAATGTGCATCTTTCCTTAATTATGTCATTTTGAATGTCACACTATTGTGTTGTATGGATGTAAAGAGTAGGGATGGGCAACGATTAATCGCATCCAAAATAAAAGTTTGTGTTTACATAATATATGTGTGTGTAGTGTGTATAATTAATATGTATATATAAATACCCACACATGCATGTATATATTTAAGAAATAAGTGCATATTTTATATATATTTATTCACAATTAATATTATATATAAATATTTGATATATTAATAACACATTTTTCTTAAATACTGTATATACATGCATGTGTGGGTATTTATATGTACATTTATATGTGTGTATATTAATTATACACACAACACACACATATATTATGTAAACACAAACTTTTATTTTGGATGCGATTAATCACGATTAATCGATGCCCATCCCTATGAGTCGTACACTATCATGCAAAAGTTCGGGTCGCAAGATTATTTTTATGTTTTTGTAAGAAGTCTCTTCTGCTCACCAGGGCTGCATTTATTTGATCATAAATACAGTAAAGTAGTGAAATATTATTACAATTTAAAATAACTGTTTTTTTATGTAAATATATTGTAAAATGTAATTTATTCCTGTGATCAAAGCTGAATTTTTCAGCATCATTACTCCAGTCTTCAGTGTCACATGATCCTTCAGAAATCATAATAATATGATGATTTGATGCTCAAGAAACATTTATGATTATTCTCAATTATATATATATATATATAATACATTTTTAAAAATCCTGAAAAAATTAAGCAGAGTTTCCACAAAATAAGCAACATTGATAAAAAATATATATATATATATTATCAATGTTAGGGTTAGGGTTAGGGTTTATGTTTATGTAGGGTTTATGTTTTTTGATTGCAATCTTTTTCTGATCCCATTGTTTTCCTTGGATTTTCTTCTCAGTTCCATGCAATTTTAAGCTTTTCTTGGTTCATTCCGTGTTTTATAGGCAACCTCTGTAATGCTAATTCAGATTAGCACAGTTGGTTTTAATTTAATCTGATTTATTTTACTTCAGGACTCCATAGTCCAAGTGTAACTAATCTGTACTTAATCTGTGTTACAAAAAAGCCATTTTTTAAGACACGATTAACTATTCTAGATTAAGGCCTACTCCAGGCTTAATTTAAACCCTGTCCGGGAAACCGCCCCCATATGACGAAACCAGTTAATTGCAACACAGCATTGCAAAAGTCAACACTAATTTAGCAAAACACAGTGATATCTGTTAATGTTATTAATGGTAGATATTATGCAATGTATAAAGTCTGTTTTTTTAAATTAGGGAAAGGTTGACGACCGTTGATCTAAAAAAAATAATTTCTGTTCTCTTTTAAACAGGAGAGGAAAACATGTAGTAACTCACTATGACCAGCAGAGGCCGACACACTTCAGTCTAACGGAGGTCTGGAACAAGAATATAGATGTACGGACGGTGGATGGACGAACAGATGGATGAATGGAGGAGGTGGACGTACCCCGCAGTGTGTGGAAGGAGACTGTTGGGAATATACACCGGAGACCTGTTTAAACATCTTGAATTGCATTGCATTGATGCATTTGGCAGATGAGATAACAGAAAACAAGATAAACACACCTGCATTCATAGTGTTTCAAATAAAACTGTGAAGGAAATCACGCATTTTGACCTAAAAAAAATTGCCTTGCATTTGACAGATGCAAATATGTGCACTACCTGGGATCAAGCGCACTACCTAGTGTTTCTCCATCGATAAAACAGTGAAGAAAACAAAAGAATGACATCTCAGATAGCACTAGCCGTAACGCTCTCGCTTCTTATCCTCCTCACTGTCAGCGGGAATATTTTGGTTTGTCTGGCCGTGTACTCTACGAGACGCCTGCGCAACGTCACCAACTGCTTCATCGTCTCGCTAGCGGTCACGGACTTCCTATTGGGCGCCCTTGTGTTGCCATTTTCCACCCTTTACCAAGTTACGGGCGACTGGCCACTAGGGGCGCACTTCTGCAACGTCTACATTTCGTTGGACGTCATGCTATGCACTGCCTCAATACTCAATCTCTTTGCTATCAGCTTGGATCGCTACTTTGCGGTCACCGAACCGCTGCGCTACCCAATGCTTTTGCTTCCGTGGCACGTCGGCGCGATTTTAGCGGCGATATGGCTGGTTTCGGTTGCCGTTTCATTCGTCCCCATCCACATGGGCTGGAATACGCGAGACTTGAGCGTGCAAAATATTCGCGAGGGCGACCCTGCGCGAGACTGCCGATTTGAGTTGAATCCGGCGTACGTATTGGTGGACGCCTTCGTGACGTTTTATCTCCCCCTGGTGGCCATGTGTTGGAGCTACCACCGAGTTTTTCGCATTGCAAGGATGCAGGCGAAACGGATCATTTCTATTCGACGGGGTTCGTCGTCGTCTCCAGGCGCTACGATTCTTGCATTGCGCGAACACAAAGCCACAGTGACGCTTGCGGTTGTGCTCGGTGCGTTCGTGGTGTGCTGGTTCCCGTATTTCACGTTTTTCACGATAATGGGGATACGTAACGAAGATAACCCGCCACGGACGGCGCAATCAGTCGTGCTTTGGCTTGGATACGCAAACTCTGCGCTAAATCCCATTCTTTACGCTACGCTTAACAGAGACTTCAGGTCCGCTTACGCCAAGCTGCTGTGTGGAGGACGAGGATGTAAAACACAGAGGGAAATACCGATAACAGCAAAGGAGGAGGGGCTAATGATTAGACACGCCCCTCCTGAACAAAGGGCGGAGCTTCGGCCTAGAACTTGTGTGTTGCTGCAAGAGATTGAAAACGGGAAGAGGGTCGATGGCAACACAACGACTGGTGCTACAGTTACCATTGTAGTTAATGGGAATAAAAGGTAGTATGAATATTGTCAAAAATAACAGTTTATTTACTTAAAGCTGCAGTCCGTCCGTAGCTTTTTGGGGTTAAAAATTATCCAAAATACATATTTGAGAAAATGCACAACAACGCAGCTCGATTCAAAACGGTAAGCTTGTAATAATGTTTTTTATTTCAGTGGTACTGGTGGGATATTGATATATGAATGAATGAATTGGAGATTCATTTTACTGAAGGTTTAAAGGGAGATACATCTAAAGAGCTGGTGAATTCATCTCTTTAAAAAAAATGTAATTGTTATTTTTACTCACCCTCAAGTATTAAGACTCTGTACCTTCAAAATGCACATAGAAAAGAAAGTGCAAATGCAATATGTAATTTGCAAACTAACTTTTTCTAAAACCAAAATGCTTTTCTTCTGACGCCCTCTAGTGGCCATGAGAGGTAACAATATAATGTAGAAGCACTAAGCGCTCACAAAACTACATTTCACTCCAGTATATGAATGTGTGAATGTTAAACTGTTACAACAACGATTAAAGGAACAGTTTGCAGAGATTTTTTACTCGCCTTCTCGCTGTTCAAACTCAAACGCTTTTTTTATTATTATTATCATGAAACATAAAGCTCTTTTTGATACAACACGTATAGTTTAGTATGAGAACTAAATGAAATGCACAGTAAAAATCTCTCAAAATGTGATGAGGTCATAGATACACACACATTAATGTGGTACACACACATACGGTACACAAACACACACACACACTAATACATACAATGAATAAAATATAAGCTACTTTTGGACCACATACTGTAATAAAACAACATCTGCAATGTCAAGATTAGAATTAGGGTTAAAGGAGTAGTTCACTTTTAAAAAAATACTTTTGCTGATAATTTACTCACCCCCATGTCATCCAAGATGCCCACGTCTTTCTTTCTTCAGTCGAAAAGAAATGAAGGTTTTTGATGAAAACATTCCAGGATTTTCTCCATATAATGGACTTCAATGGGGTCCAAGCAGTTCAAGGTCCAAATGAGAGTTTCAGTGCAGCTTCAAAGGGCTTTAAACGACACCAGACGATGAATAAGGGTCTTATCTAGCGAAACGATCGCTCATTTCAAAAATAGATTAAAAAAAAGTTTACGTTTTATAAGCACAAATGCTCGCCTCGCTCTGTTCCGTGATGCGCGTTCGTGACTCTCCTGTTCAAACTCGTTGATCAAAACGAACAAATCTTTTTTTAGAGTCACCAAATGACTCGAAAAAATATTATTTCGTTTTGATAAACGAGCCTTTGCGCTGAAAAAAAGATTTTTCTCGTTCTCACGAACGAATCTCTGCACTGAAACTCTCATTTGGACCGTGAACCGTTTGGACCCCATTGAAGTCCATTATATGGAATGTTTTCATCAAACACCTTCATTTCTTTTCGACTGAAGAAAGAAAGACATGGACATCTTGGATGACATGAGGTGGGTAAATTATCAGCAAAAGTTTTTTTTTCAAAAAGTGAACTACTTCTTTAAATGTGCTTCATTGCCATGAAAATGTCACAAACTCAAAGCAATGGCAAATACAACAAAACCAAACAATGTGTTTTCTTCTTTCTTTCTTTCTTTTTATTTATTTATTTATTTTTCATCCGTTACCTGGACATGTTTTCATGAGACTCTCTGTTCTGTGAGATTCTCCAGAACCACTGAATTAATTTATTTGTACTTGGTTTTCTATGTGGAAGTTTAAGAATTATGTCCTGTTTTCTCTCAGAAAAATATTGTTGCATGAACATGATTAAACAGTCAGATTACAGTATGACTGTAAAGACGATAATCGGAGAGATAAGCATGTGCATGAGTCTAAAATTTAGTGTAAAGAACACAGATCGGAAATGAATTCAATGAAATATGTGCTCTTCAGGATGTTCTTCATGTGGGATTTTTTCAAAAATCTATTTGTAAGTTGTATTTTCATGTTGATCTTGAACAAAACTCCCCCATTCCTTCATATGTCTTTCTTTTGACTGATTTAGTCTGACCAGCTATTCATCATTGGCCAATTAACACATATCAAACTGCAGAACTTAGGAGTGCAGGCGCACACACACACACTTTTAGTAGGTTATCCATCATCCTGGTTTGTCATCAAAATATCATCAAATAATAAGGGCAAAAGCACACACAGAGTAATTCAGTAACTCAGATTCCTGACCTCGGGAAATATGTGAGGAGGATGAGGAGGGGAATCATGGGAAGACATAAAGAGGAAGACATCGTTTGTAGCTTTTTCTGGCCAAGAAATACTACATAAGAACACTTTTGAAAACAAAATGGAGAAATAGAGGTAAAAAACTTTTTGTTTTCAAAAGTGTTGAGAACTTGTAATGAGAACTAACCGAACCCTGACTTTAACCATGTAGGAATATTGTTAGGTGTGTTGAACTTGATATCCAGTTGACAAACAAAAATCTGAATACATTTTAAATTTGATGTCACTAACCTGGCAAACTTTGGCAAATCCCGAGATTAGTTCCTTGTATCCTGATCACATGAGTTGCATTCGCAGTAATAAAGTCCAAAATGAAAGTGGAAGATCCTTCACCTTCAAGACAGTGTGACAATAAATATCAATGAAACTATTCAGCACTATATACCAACACATACACCGTATATATGAGATGATGCTACATATTTAGCCAATGTGTGTATACATGAAAGCAAAAAATATGTGTGTATATATATATAGGCTATACACATACACAAAGTATGTATACAGTACACACATAGGTTAAATATATAGCATCATCATGTACAAGATCCATCTATTCCACAAGCTGTATCTAAATGAATATCAATAATTAAGCAAATTAAACCCCACAAATAGAATATACAACAAACACAATGATTAACTGGTGTAAGCAATTCCCTGGAATATAGCATCACAGTCCTAACAAAAGCTAAATAAAACCCACTCCCTCTCTCTCTGGTCCTTTATCCCCGGTTAGTGTGTTGGAATTTAATATGCGACTTTTGTTATTGGGAAAGTGGCGCATGTGTCTGTGCGCGCGCTGGTCGTAATATCTCTGTTAGTGTAGATAATGCGATAACGAAGGCAGGGGCTATTCATCACCCCGGCCGATCCCAATACGCTTTATTATTTTAATGCATTTCACAGCGATTAAAAATGATCTATCACCCAGACTTGTGTGTGTGTGTGTGAGTGTGGTCACTTAAAAGGCCTCGGTGTGCAAAGAGACAGCACAGAAACTCTCCTCCTCAATATTCCCGGGGTAGAAACATTCACCTCGTAGTTTTATTTGGCTTTTTATTCAACGAGTTCCCCGAAGCTGTTGTGGCATTTCTCTGCGTCCATCCCTCCTCCTGCAGTCATTAAACTCCTCATCACTGCTCATTTAAGCGGTTAACGAGCAATGTGTTCAAACTAATGGCAATTAATCTGCGATTAGACCCGATTAGCATAGCTACAGCTGCGTTTGACAACATGAGAGACTTTACCTTTGCGGTCCGTCCATCTTGTTGCTTACCTTTTTATGATGTTTATGTCAGAAGAAACGACCTAATTTATCACTTCACAGCTTTCCATGTTTTCATTCATGGAACAACTGGGAAAAAGTTAAATCACGTCAGACACAGACGACAACAAAACGACCAGCTACGATCGACATTCAATCTCAAAATGGACTGTGAACAGCTTGTTTTCTCTCAATCATTCATATATCTGACAATGAAACCTATATGCTGTAGACACACTGGTCAAATTTGAAATATATTTATATATATATTATTTTAAATTAGCTATTATAAAATTTTATTGAAGGTCGAGAGAAAACATTTTATAGAAATGCAAATCGAGGGCTTGGAGCCAGAAGGGCTTTTAACAAACTTTACAGGAGAGACAAAACAAATTTTGACCACGCTTCAATCACCTGTATTATTAACCTTAAACCACAAACATTGCAACCACAGGCATACTTACATGAAATGAGTATTTAAATAAAAAATATATGGCATAACACAATGAATATGTTCTAAAACATTTTCAAAAATTCAAAAACGTCAGATACGCCTTTTTGTTGCTTTATTCAGTACAGTTTGATCTCAGATATGTGTTTTTGGTACCATTAGATAGAGCTCATCGAGACCTTTATTTTGATAGGCTATAAAGAACTAATATTCGCCCAAAATGCCACTTACGCCCCTCTGGCTCCAAGCCCTCGAAATGTTTGGATAAAAAAAAACTACAGTAGGTATTTATAGGTGTTAAAAATTATTAAATATAGCAACAAAACAAAAATTATTTCTAATATAAATTTTGGCTATTTAAAAAAAAAAAAAAACATCACAGTTTTTGCATCATATAGCCTAATGTGTTTTGACCACAGACCTCTTTTTTATATTATGTTTTAACTGTACAAGTACAAAGAAAAGACTCTATCCCAGAACAACTTCCCCAGAGTAAGGGATTGTGGGTAATATTAACCTTAAAAAAAAAAGTATGCCGACTAGGAAATTATTTTTGAGATGCAAATAATATTTAGGTTGAGTATGAATGGCATGAAAGATGAACGAGGAGGAGAGAGGAGAAAAAAGAAATAGCAAGTTGTCAGATTTTGAATGGTTTTATTAGCTTGTCGTGTTAAATCAGTGTTTGATCTGAGGTGTGTCAGTTCTGCAGATTAAACTCCTCAAATGATGAAAGTTGGAGATGCTTTACCTGATCATGTGGCTGAGTGTAAAAACTCATTTTGCACAGTGACAGTATGACTGTAATATAAATCACAAGGTCTTTGTTCAGGGATGAGGATCCTGTTTATGAGTTTCAGAAAATCTAGAAGAGATGTGAAAGTTTTCACAATGTTCTGAGAGTTACGTTAAAGAACATTCTTTCTAATGTGGGAACAATATTACATCCCAGAGTAACTGCTCTATCCATCCATCCATCCATCCATCCATCCATCCATCCATCTATCAATCTATCTACCTAACAATCTATCTATCTATCTATCTATATA